ATTTTGAGCTATCCAAGCGAAACCTGGTTTTTCTATCAGCTGATTGTCCAAAGTTTACCATGCAATACGGTCTGCTTGGAATTTCTAACGGGACTTTCTGAAAATAGATTGACAAAAGCGTTTTTGTATTCATGCACTTTTAATTTGTCAGCTGTGGAGTGCACAGACCAAATTTAAAAATTTAAAATATAATATAAAACGCTGTTAAACCAAAAACAATTGGACTGGATATGGTAGATAAAGGTATATACTTTATTTGTACAGAAAAATATATATATAATTTGTGTTGTGTTTCGTGTAAATCTTTGTTAAAAAAGTGCGTCTTTTTAGTTCGTATATGTTGGGTTTACGTAAAGTTTTAAGTATTTTCCCCCCGTTGCCCCCAAATGAAATTTATGTGCCGTCATTAACTAATATTTAAAGATTATAAAAATGTTTACTTTAGCTGCGGCTACCTGCGGCTGCAAATTTGCCATTACAAAACAAATTACCCTAATTTTTTAGCCAATAATCCGGGTTGTAATAGAAAATCGGGAAAAAATTTTAAAAATAAAAAAGTTACCTGAGTATCTCGGAGCACTTATCCTTTAGTGAATACAATACATTTTATGGATATCTGATGTTTTTGTGGACAGTTAGGATAGGATGTACACCGAAAATAAACTTTTTTGTGGGGACTCAGGAGATTCGCTATTACTCGTAAGCATGTAAATATTTTTTAATACAAAAATTTTTAAAAAATTGCTCAAATGTTGTGTTATTATACCATTAAATACCATTAATTCATTAAGCTAATTTTAGCCGTTTCGCCACAACATTTTTTTGAAAAGTAGTGATTTTTGCACCCAATTAACCTTACCCCCCTTAAGCTGTGTAAGTTTGTTGCTGGACAAAATAAACACACAATATATAAGTGAATAATTTTTTTTTTTACTTTTGGGCACTTATATTTCACCAACGTTCTCATTAAGAGATCAAAAACTAAAAAATTAAAGTTAGGTCTTGGAAAAAAATGGTTTTATAAAAATGTTGTATGGGAGCTATAAGATATAGAGATCCGATTTTAACCAAATTTGGTAAAAATGCATAAACCTGTACCAAACATATAATCTGTGAAATTGGTTAAGATATCTTGAAAAACAAAAAAGTTTTTCATATTAAGTATTAATTTTTAACAGATTGTTCCTATGGCAGCTATATGATAAAGTCGAGCAATATGGCCAATTTTTTGTGGATATACTTAAAACATTTTTCTAGATTTTTGGTGAAAGTTTCTTAGCGATAGCACATCTAGAAGTAGTTATGGCCGCGGCTCCATACAAGCTCGACCACTGTGCACTGGGGCGAAGGACTCTCCAGAGGGGTGTTGGTACTGCACTGAAAGAAAATATTAGTTTTATGAGTATTTTTAAAGTATGATGATTAAAGTTTTAACCAAAATTTTTTACAAAAGTTTAAGGTTGTCGAAATTTATAATTAAATAGTATAGATGAAAGTTCTTGCAATTTTCTCTCAGTGTATGTATATATGCCTGGGTGTTTTGAAGGCGGAATGGGCCATGTGCGGCCAGTGCCTGGACCGGGCAAAGTTGGCATAATTATTTCATTAACACTTAACAAGTGGCCAAGCCGAGTCTGGCGGGATCCGGGGGATGGACTTCGGGTATGGGTCTGGGTCTGGGTCCGGGTCCGGGACAGTGTACGGGTCGCTCTGTCCGTTGGCGGAGCGCAAAAACTTTCGCATTACGCATTTGTGTGCAATTTTCAAATTAACAATTGTTAATTTTCCTCTTGTTTCCCAGCCTCGCCTTTTCCTTTCATTCTTTCCATTTCCTTCTTCTATCATCATGCGGGCGTATAACAAAACAAAACGCAAAATGAACACAAAAAGTTGAACAAAAAATTGCAAATATATAAATTTGACCGTTTGCCTTTTAAAAATACATTTTTTTTTTCGTTGTACTTTGTCCCGCCGTTGGTTTTCTTCGTTAATTTTTTATTTTTCTCTTACCAAGTTTTTATTGCGTGTTTAGCATAATTTTTTAATAATTACATTTTTGTGTGCTTGACCAAAACAAAAAAATTCGAAGAGGGGAAAAATTCAAAATAAGAAAGAAACCAACGAATAATAAGCAACAAGCTGCAAGGGAAGCAGGAAAGGAAGCGTTTTTGTTGCCATTCGCCTGCTCGTTGACTGTGGGCAAAAGTTGAACAAAGTTTATTTGCATTACTGACAAACTGTTTAATTAGGGATTTTTTCTTAGATTTTTCAGCGGCGAAACTTTCTGTGTAGGCACATGCCCCATCTGTGTGTGTGCTGTGTGCTGTGTGTGTATCCTGGCCGCAAATACAATTAAACGTGGCAGACGGGAAACCAAAATAAAATCATCCTTAATCCGGGCAAAGTGTGTTGTTTTTAAGGGGAAACCAAACAGGGGAGGGCTCTCTCTGAGTGCTTTTCCCTACGAGGACTAATTTATATGATATTATTACTGACGGGCTAATGCATTAAAACACATCTCTATATAATGGGTTCTATGGTAAAAGTTAATTTAAATTTTGTTGTATAAATGTAATCCTTTTTGCCCAACTAATAAGTGCATATTTTCAGCAACAAATTTAAATTCAGCAGCTATTTCAACATAAATACATTGTATGTTTTTATTGAGGACTCATAAAGCAAACCCAATAAAATGTAATCTTGTTGTGGGTTAAAGTACGTCAATTAAGCACCAAGGCAATCGATGGGTAACTGTCTAAAAACTATTGAAAACTAAATAAACTCACCTCAAATAATTGCAATTTTCGCATTTATTCGAGCATAAACTTAACGAAAGAATATTTTGAAACTTGGCAAGCCGAAGTTTGGTATACTGTAAGCTGTGTGAAGCTAAAAGGAAATATGAATCTATTTTATATGATTTGTATTTATAAATAATAATTAAATAATTAAATAATTATCTTTCTTCAATCCGTAAGTAAGCTGGTCATCATTTCTTCTTTATTTCGCAATAGAAAAATCATTCCTTTTGAATGCTAGAAGCTGCTGACCATAATGTTATTACCCTAGCCCTGGCCGCATTGTTATTTCACACTGGACGAAATAAACGAAGCATCTGTGGGTATGTCAGCATCCTGGTGGAGCAGCAGCAAGGAAAGAGCCACAACCACAGGACGGACAGATGGGCAGTTGGACTGAAGAACTGAAAGACTGACGGACAGGCTTCCACATTGTGATAGCAACTGTCAGTCACTCAAGCAGTCCGTTAACCAGGCAGCCAAGCGTTAGAACCTGGCTCGGTCCGGTCCGGTCTGGGCCAAGTTGTTGGCCAGCAGAATTCGCTCGCATCATTGTAATTGTTAATTACTCAGATATTTATTCTCCGTTTTTTTTTATCTGCGGAACAGGACTGAAGCTCTCTCGGTTTCTCCCCCTCTTTTCATACGCACGCACGCACACAGCAATTTGGCCAGCTGCTCTGCGGATCGTGCATATTTATGCTTATGGCCACATCTTCTGGCCAAGCCACGGATGGAGCGCTGATTTGGCCGACACACGCAGCTAACAAGCGATGACCACCCATCCGACCCACAGACACGTCAACACCAAACAACGTCGTCATGCCATTTGGCAGTGGGTGAATTTTAGCGGTGGCTAAGAAATAACAAGTGCACCGGAGGAAAATATATTTTTTATGTAATTTACAAGAGGGAATTATATAAGAGTTTAATAACTATCGAGAAATATTCCTTACATAACATTCCTTTATGAAATAAAAGAATATTAGGGATTTTTTCAATTCTTTTTATTTCTTTAGAGAATAAATATAAACAAAGTAAACATAAAATTAACAGAGAAAATATATTAATTTAACCTGAAATAGAATTATAATTTAATTGTGTATTTTACTTACTGTTTATATATAATTTTCTCAAAGATAGTAGATTAAAAATCCATATCCCTGACCTATTAGTACTTAAAAAATATTAAAAAACTTATTTTGAAATGAAAATCTATCAGTTTTTTAAAATCCATTTAATTTTCGTGAACAAGGCTAACATCTCCAAAATTTTTAAGCAATATTTTTAAGCTCTGGCACATTTTCTTAGAGTGCGGGGGCACCAGCTCAGCCAGAATGAGCTACGTCAAGTGAGTTCACAATTTTTGCGTGCTACCATTTTTCTTCCGCCTCTGTGTCAGCCGCGAGTTTCGTCTTTGTACGAACGCTGCACGGATTATCCTTGGCATGCAACGCCTTTATCCTGTTTTATTTGTGTTGTACTGGGGCCCGCTCCTTCTGTTTTTTCTTCTTGTGTTGTTTTTTTTTTTTTTACCCTCTGATTTCGCTACTTAATTTTATTTTTTTTTTGCCCTTTTTTCGGTCTGCATCTGTCTGTCTCTAGGTCTGGCCGTCTGTCTGCCCTCTGTGTATCGTCTCGTTTCCGTTCTGGCTGAGCTGATTGGGCGTATTTTGTTATTTTCATGCTGCTGCCGCCTGTCAGTCAAGCCAAACGAAGCCAGAGGAGCTCCTGGCCGTGGTCCTGGCTCTGAATTTCGCCCCCTTGCCTGGCACCCGCTCGTTTGTTCATTCGCTTTTTTCCCACGTAATTAAAACTTGAAACGCATATGAATTAGAAAATACAAAAAAATACAACAACAAAACGGGAAAAAGAAAAACTGGGATGGAAAAGAAAGTAGAGAGCGAAATAAAATACGAGTACGCGACCCGGAATGGAGCCATTTGATGGTACAGAATGACATCCTGTTTCCCGCAGCCTGACATCGTTAACATCGCTGATTAAGTTTTCTTGTCCTGTGCTCCGTCTGCATGTCACTCAACGTGATTTGAAATGAAATTTTTATAATTTCAGCTTCGCCCCCAGGGCCAACTCTATGGCCCGTCGTTGCCCTTAACCCTTTTATCCACTGGATTTATCCTTGTTTTAATGTTTAACTTTATTAAGTCGACATTGTGCACCAGAACAATATCTCCTCAGGACTCAGCGGCCATAGATGCCTCCACCGAAGCCTCCACCGAAGCCACCTCCAAAGACTCTTCGTTCCTGGTAATATGGTCCATAGGGATGGCCCAGGTATGGTCCTCCACCATAAGGACCACCATAATTGGGATATCCGAAAGGCGCAAATGGTCTGCCTCCATAAACTCCTAATCCACCTGCAAAGAAGCCGCCTATCTGACGACGTATCCGCTCGGCAGCATCATCTGTAGATTTTCCCTCGTCCGGAATGTGATGGTGTTGATCCTGGGACTTGGGATCTTCTGCCAGGGAATTTCTTGCGAGCAGGATTGCCAGTAAAAATAACAGACAAGACAGAGTTCGCATCTTGAAAGGTTTTGTGTTAGAATAATAATTTTTTAGACAGCTTGCCGCTCTATTTATAGGAATTATCTGGAGAGCTTAGGCACTTAAGTTGTTTGTACAATAAGATAAGGTAATTATTCTTTGATTTATTAAAGAACTTAGCCACGATATTAGCAAAATAAAAGTAATTTGACTTTCGAGGAGAAGCTTGACACTAAGAATAAATACTACATTTATTTATAACCTTTTTAAAAGAAGGTTATTTTTGTTGAGTGCAGAATAAAGTCCTCTTCCGCCATATCTTCCACGGAGTGTAACATTAAAATCTCTGTCAAGGAACTCCATTATATTTCGCAGCAGCTTCCGTCAGAACACAAGGTAATGGATGGCTAAGCACCTGGTTTGAACATTTTTAAAGAGCCGCCCCGTTTCGAGCCCATTTAAATGAATGGCAAAAAAAAAAGGCTGGTTCAGCACTTGGTGGGGTAATTAGAGCAGCAGCTCGTGTTGATTTATTCGCAGCTAATCCAGGTCTGATCGTATCACATATGCACATTAAATGAATAACACTTAGCCATAGAAGGGGCCGCCAAAGAAGGGCGGCGGCGGTGGTGGCGGGTAGAATCGACCGAAGCCACCACCGAAACCGGGTCGCCGGAATCCTCCATAGCCGCCGCCACAGCAGAATCCGCCCCTGCCTCTGCCGAAGCCTCCTCTGCCGAATCCGCCGCCGCCAAAGCCTCTACGGCCGCCGTAAAATTGCCTGGCCAGGCGCACAGCCGGCATCTCCTGCTGCTCCGTTGCCTGATTTACATCCGCCAGAGTCAGTTGCTGTACATCCACATCCGGATTCGCCTGGGGTGCGGCCTGCTCCGTGGCCGTGGTCCCCGATTTCGCCAGCAGGACCAACAGGCCGGCACTTAGCACTAATAGATTCAAGTGGTGGACGTGGCCGCGCATTGCTCCGTAGACTCGTTAACCTAACTAAAGTCGTGCCGATCCCCCGCCTAGGCTCTTTATATAGCTCAGAGCTGCTCTCGCCGCGCTCCGTTCTAAACGAGTTGTGTGTGTGCCGGCGACCTTAAACAATTAAATTTCCTGAGCATAATCAAATGGCGAAGAAAACCCCCGACATTCAAGAGCCGCGGGCTGAAATTGTAAACAACACAAAAGGGGGGGAAAAAAAAAAGAAAATAACAATATCATTTCTGCGCAGTGAGAACAACCTGTTCTTGTTTTCACTCACTCCAAGCCAAGCTTCTCGTTCGCTTCTAATTATGTTCTACAAGCGCGGGAATATAAGATTTCGATAAGTCAATACCCTGTTGAATTTTGCTAAATGACGTAGCTAGTGTGATTTATAATCCAGTTTGTTTTCTATATTTCAACAATTCAAATAACTTAATTTGTGAGCAAACAAATTGTTGCCCTTTAAATTTTCCATTTAAATCTTATCAAAAAACGGCTATTAAAATTCCGATTATATAATATTTAAATTTACGAAGAACACCTTTGAAAACTACAAATGTATCATTAAAATAGTCCAACTAGAATTAGAATAAACCCTTAAAATATAAGCTTATTTAATTGAAATAATAAAGTCCAATATGCCAACCAATTACCAACTTTTCCTTTTCAAAAGCTTTCAAGTGAGTGACAGTCATACATTTGGAGCTCTAATGGGAATCCAGTACTAGAAAACAAACTGGTTTCTGTGAATTAAAAATTATTTTAAGTACTTATATTCATTATGACAGTTGATAGATATATGCATACAATAATTACGTTGCTTTAAATCATTTCGACATACCCTCCCTAAATATTTGCATACAATATACCAATGTAAATAATTAAGTATTTATTTGATAATGAGCTTAAACTAGAAATAAAATACGCAAATGGGAAAAGCCAACTTGAACTGATAGTTTTTGGTGGCAACTTAATGATGCATAATTATTAAAGTTGGCCAGAAAAACCTGAAAAGGGAATGTTGTTTAAAAATATAAAGTATCTCCCTTTAAAATATTTTTCTGTATTAATCATCATTACCTGGCTGTCGATTGTTGACAGAAAAATAGTAAAATAACAAAGCCATGACATCAACTCGGGGGGTTTTTATCTCGAAGTTCTTGAATGATATAAGATTTTTCTAGGGACTTTTTTTATGTGATTAATTTCATCAAAGCTTGAAAGCAACCAAAAAGAATCACAGAATAAGTTAGAGAGTGTGAAATTGTATAAGCTTGCCGTCACTGAAATGACGGGACTAGAAAATGTATAGCTTTTCTAATCCAATTATACATATATACACGTTCGTTTGGGTAATTTTATTTGCCGGCATCTAATGCTCATTAAGAGATTTCTTAAGTACGGGCCGCATGTGAGTTGTTTACAATTCAGAGAAGCCGCCCCGAGCGTCGCGGCCAAAAGCGATACGTATTTATAAGCCATAAATAACGTGTAAACAAAAAGCTGCCACAAACAACAAGTATACGCCCGGTGGGCCCCCGTTTTGGAGCAGCTCGTCTCCCTTTTGTGGCGACACCAGCAACGGCAACAACAACAAAAACAACAACAGCGGTAGTAACAACATCGCGGCCAAATTATAAGGCTATAAAAGGCAATAAAAAAAACTTTGCGATATCAAATTACAACGCCCTCATAAAGTTATAAAAGTTTCAAGCGTATCCAAACACACAGCACGTTCCACATCCCGCGTCCTGAATCCCGAATCCTGAATCCCCGGAATCTTGCCACCATCTCGATTTTCCCTTCTGGGCCAGGCCTAATATTTTCAATAACAAATCAATCAGATGCGGCTGCTGCCGCGACGGTCAACAAGGATAATCAGTTCGAACGGCTTTTCCCACCCACTTCAGAGGCTGCTGCCTGCCAGCTGCCAGCTGCCGCGTGGGCGTTGCCCTTGGATGAGGGCGGGCTTCTGGCAAGTGGGCGGGTGTGTATCCGAAGGTGCCGTAGATTTATTGAGACACGATTTCGATAAGAACAGCCCCGCCAAAATGGCCAAAAAAAGAAGCGGAGAATACAGGATCCTCGACTTGAGGATGCTCTTACGAGGCAGTAAGTTTACAATGTTATTTTAATTCTAAATTTTATATTTTAAGTCAAAATTAAATGTACATTTCTTTTATTTTCTCTCTCTCCAGGTCATTCTTTTAACCTTTTGCATACTCTTTCTCCTCAAACTATACACATTCATTAAAAGGACCAAAGGGAAAAGCGCTCGTCTCTCCCTGAGCAAAGTTCCCTGAGTATACCGTGAAAGTGTAGACTAACAAAGCCTTTTACAAGACTGCGTTCTAGTAACAAGAAATTTTTCACGAGCCAACGAAAATAAAAAAGAATGAAATGAAAAAGGGAGCAATGGGGGAGCTACGAGAAAAAAGCGAAAACTTTTATCAATGTTGGCGTATGACCCTTGTATGGATGGAATACGTGGGCGGGCGGGTGTCCTCTACGGTAAGGTCAAGGGATAACAAAAGGCGTAAATTTAAAGCCGAGTTAATTTTTTAACAATAAAAGGGCGCTTGTCAAAAGAGGAATTTTACAGCAAACGTTTAATCTTAAACGACTTTCCCATGCCAACGAGATTGCCAAGTTGGATAACACAGACGCGGGCCGCTGGCAGCAGCCTCCATTAAGTTTCAATGGATTGCTTTGTTATAAATAGGAAAAAACGAAAGCAAAAAATTAAGAAAGAATGAAAAAGCGCCAGTAAACGAATTAAATGTTAACCCACAGACAGAGAAATATCAAATAACCCAATTGATGATAAACTTAATCAGTTTAACGTTTTATACCAAGCCTTAAAAAAAGAGATCTGCCTCACATTCTCGCTAGTGTTTTATAAATTTTTACTTATAGCCATAATAAAGCAGAAATATATTTTTCTTAATGTTTAAATACTATGATATTCGGGATAATATACAAATTATAATTTGCAATACCATTTTTAATTTGAAAACCTGGATTTCTTAATCCTCAAATCTCAACTATTCAAATCAGAAATAACACCCACATTTATCTTTTTTTTCAGTGCTTTTACCAACTCGATATAACTGGGAAAACAGCCTTGCCAATCACTGAAAGCCATGCAAATGACAAGGAAATTAAATGAATCAAAGAACAGAGGCAATTGTATTTGGAACTTAATTAGAACGTGCTTGATTGCACTTTGATTACACATTCTATTTCTAGTGAGTTAAGCTAAGTCAGTCACAGATGATTGCTGGTTGCTATTTAGCCTCGGAAGCCTCCAAAGCCACCTCCTGGTCCTCCGAAGCCGCCAGGTCCTCCGAAGCCGCCTCCTGGTCCTCCGAAGCCGCCGGGTCCTCCGAAGCCACCTCCTGGTCCTCCGAAGCCACCTCCTGGTCGTCCGAAGCCACCTCCTGGTCCTCCGAAGCCGCCTCCAAATCCTCCATAGCCGCCTCCCGGTCTTCCGCCTCCAAAGCCTCCATAGCCGCCTCCTGGACCTCCAAATTGACGAACCTGCCGAGCGGCCAACGGTGTTTGGACACCTGCATCCACATCTAAAAGCTGGGCAGCCGCATCATATGTGGCCGCTGAAGTGCCGGCGACCAGGAGAATGGCCGCCAGGGCAAGGCAAACAAATGTACGCATTTCGTTTGCTCGGACTCGGGGAAACTTCTGCCACTAATCACCGGCAAAGTTTCGATGGATTCTATGAAGACTCCACTCTGTGGCCGGCAATTTATATGATTCCAAATTTATCGACTGGCTATGGCGGCGGCTGAGGAAGCGAATAAAAGTGGAAGTGGTTCGACGGGGCGGAACATCAAAGTTGTGAGTGTTTCGCCAACTGAAATGAATACTACGGGCAGACCGGGCGATTCGTATTAACTGTCTGGCTAAGCGCTGCCAACAATAACAACACAATCGCCACACCAATGGCCGAGACAGTAACCATAGACAGTAGCTAGTAGCCGTGGTCATAATAATAACCAAAACCTATTAGGCAACAAAAACGGAGCACAAGAGGAGCCAAAGTTTTTGGCAAACACCCCGGAGAGGAGGCTTCAAGCATCTTGGGCCAAGTGGCCAGCCGGATGGGCTTTCTCTAGGGTACAGTGGGTAAACAACATGAATTCTAGGCTAAATTAAAACATATTTTCAATATTTTTAAAGAGTTTTCATAAACATTTTTGCTTTACAAAGACCTTGGTTATCTAAGATTTTTAAGCATTTTCTGGAGATCAAAGTTAAGTATATATTTAAATTAAGAAATTAAGTATTTACTAGTTATATTACCTAAAATTTTCATTTTTCCATAGTGCAGACTCTGGACAGCTATTCAAATGCGCAAAACATTCAAGTTTCTGGGCTCACAACAACAAAACAGATCGATAGACAAGTGGCCAAGTGTTCATGGGAAGCACCAATCTCGAGAGGGCCTCTCCTTCATCTTTCGGATTTCGTAAAGCTTTTTGGATGCGGGGCAAGTTGAGGATGATTTTCTGTTGTTTGTTTGACTTAATTAAAATCTAAGAGCAAACACAGTCAACGCAAGCAACTGGTTGTTATTCAAGTGTCATCAATGTTGTCGTTTTCGTTTTGAGTGACGCACTGACTCATCTCGGTTATTAGCTTATTCAATGGTTAGCACACACCTAGATCGTGTCTTGCTGCTACTGTATATCGAGTATATACATTCAGGCTATAAATAAATTAGCCAAGGGGAATATAAACTGGATTATATTTATATAACCATCTAATTAATATTGAAAGTGATCAAGGAAAACCCCACCAAAATCTTTGTCAACAGACTATGGCTTTCAAAAATATTTTAGGTATATTTTACTATCGATTAGTACTTAATATATATTTCATGTTATAACATATTTTATTTATATAATTTATTTTGAAATTTAATATTAATTTCCCACCAATATTTAACCTTTTGTCAATCAATTCCCCCTTCTTATTTCAACTAGAAATCACAGAGTAAAGAGCGGCAAACTTTTAATTGAATTATGCACTCAAAGTGACCGTTGAACAAAATCAGAAGCGACTTAAACTTACACATAAAACTGATTTGCCATCTGCCTTGTCATCCGTCAATTGCCGAGCCAGTTCCACAGGGGGAAAACAGGGCAAAGAAAATGACAAGACTGCCTACGTTTTTCACGACATTATAGTCATCTTTCTAGGGAGAGGCGAAACTTTGGCCTGAACTTTTTAAGAAGTAACAAACAAAATGCAAGTAAGAAAATATTAAAAACTTTTAAGGATGGCCTGCTAAAAGGTAAAAGTAAACCTGTCCACGGCTAAACAGGTAACAAACGTTGTATTATGGAACGTGATTATTTATGAGATTTTTTTTATGATGACAAAAAGGTTCAAGTGGACATGTTTGACCTTATTACTTTAGTATTTATTCATTAAAAAAGCTGTATGCCGTAAAAAGAGATGTTTTTCATTATTTATATTTATTAAACTGTAAAATAATCGATTAAATGTCAATCTCAACTACATTCACTATACTCAATTCAAGTGATGATGTTGTTATTATTATTTTATATAAGTTTTTATTGTGATATATTTTTAAAGTGGTTGTTCAGCTTTTTTACAACCTATTTTAAGACTTTATTATATTGTTTCAATTAAAACATTTTGTTAAGCCACAAAAAATATAGATTTTACCTGCTTATAAAATTATATTAGAAATAAAAAACCTGATTGAATCATTTTAAACTTTAAAAATGTATAAAATTTCCAAGAGAACTAAGCTCAACTTTAGTAACTAATTAATTATAATTAAAATTCCACCTTAAAAAGCATAGAAGCCATTATAACAGGAATAGCATTTTGGCACATAAACAACCGCGAAAGGGCAAAAAATAATGAATTAGCTAGGTAGCCCAGCACCTGGACACCTGGCCAATGTAAATTAGTAATTTTACTAATCGCCAACCGGTTCGCTGGAGAAGGGAAGAGTGCGGCGCCTGTAAGGTAAATGTTTGCGTGGCCCCCTCGTAGTTTCGAGTTCCTGTTTTAGCTTCCTACTCCAGCTCCTCGCCTGATTATGACAATCATAGTCAAAATACTTTTCCCTGGGTTGAGTAAAAAATGGATTTTTAATTTATGCCGCCGTGTCTGGGTTTTTTGTGGCTCTTTCTCTCTCTCTCTCTCTCTCTCATTGCAGTCGAGCGGTGGAAATTTATGCGGAAGTTTACGCCATCCAGTGGAGGGGCCTGTAAGCGGAGTGAATAGCAAAATGTGCATCATTTTGACGTTGACATCGTTAATTGACCCAGTTTCCTGGACTGGCTAAAAGCGTTTAAATTTGAATAAGCAAATTTGGGCAGCGAAATGGAGATTGAGGGAGATAGAGAGAGATTTCGCGTTTTTGCATAAATGAATTAAAACGCCGCAGCTTTGGCTATGGATTAGGCAGCGGATTTTGGCCGAAAAACACATGCGCCGAAACCGCAATAAACCAATTGAGAGCCATTCAAGCCGGCAATAGAGCCATCGAGCATTGTTAATGGCCGGTCCGCGCTCATAAAACAAACAGCGAAGCCAAACAGCAGCAAACAGGCAAACAAGCAGGCCGGCAAGCTGGCAAGCTGGCCAACTGGCAAACTCGCAAACTGGCCGAACTCGGCAAACAACAAGAGCAACAACAAACAGCAATTCACACTTACGCACCCCGAAGTTGGAGGCGTCTGCCCAAAGTCTGTGAATGGGAATGGGTATAGGTATGGGTCTGGCAGTAGGCCTCCGCCCCCACTGGTCAATAGCATAACTAACCTTCAAATGAAATTAGCACATTTACACAGCTTACCTGACCGCAGGAGCAGTGCTGCCATGAAAGCTATTTTCCAGCCAACGGGCTTAGTAAACAGCTTAAAGGCAATATGCCTAACAGTGGTATTTAGATGAGTGGGAACATTTGCAGCAGTTAAAATTGAGAAGCAACTATCCATCCAAAGGGGACTCTGTAGCTTGTTACCAAAAGAAGTGCGAATCTAGTGATGTTTAAGCGAAATTTTAAAACTAATGTTAATGGAAGTAAAGTAAAGTAAGTAAATGGTTTTTTCCTTCTCAGATAACTAGAAGTCCTGCTCCGATTCTTTGATAAACTTTTCTTTTCTTCCGTTCTAAAGTATTGTTTTAATTTAACTAATTTTAATTAAGGCCAAAGTTGAAATAAACTTATCTTAAAAATACAAATAGATATCTCCAGGAAAGCTACACAAACCCCTATATATATTTCTTTATTTTATTCTCATAATAAGTTAGGATATTTTCCACAGGTCCTGCCCAACTCCTTGTTGTTTTTAACCATTTTTAAACATTTTATATTCACTTGTTGAAACCTCTTTGGTGGCCAACACTGAACAGGAGCTGGTGGGCGCCGCAAAGTGAAATATTTTGCTCTTTAAACCGCCACTGGCTGCCATTCGATTTCATGAACGCCACTTAGCGTGCCACGAAAAATACCCAGAGACTGGCCATATGAATTGGCCCTTTTGTTTCGTTTTTACCGTGGGTACTCGCATATTTTAATAGTTTGTTTTATGGCATTTACATTAGCATCTAATTTCTGCTAACAAGCGGTTCGGTCACAAAACAAACAGACGACGCACTCGAAGCAGTGCGGAAAAGGGCGAAAACAAAAGTTTCTATTTTATGCCCAAAGTTCTAGGCTATAAAGACACCGGCCACGAGCTGGCCAGGTCACAGTTGCCAACTTAGTCGAACGCAGCGCGGAGCAGCCAAAAGGCCACTGATAAAGTCAAGCGACCAGCAAAGCAGTTCAAGGAGCCATAAGGATAATGCGTAGCTGGTTTTTATTCGGATTATATGCGCTGCTAATCGCCGCAACAGTTGGCCAACCGCTGCACCAAAATGAGCCCGAAAAAACCGAGGACTCGGGCTCTGAGCGGGGCGAGCGAGTGAGTCGCCAAATTGGCTATCCGTTTGTGGGTGGCTACGGCGGAGGATACAGCGGATATGGAGGTATCGGCAGCTATGGAGGCTATGGAGGATATGGAGGATATGGAGGATACGGAGGATACGGTGGCATCGGAGGTTACGGAGGCATTGGAGGCTATGGCATACGCTCAGCGTATTATCCTTATGGTTCCAGTGGCCTGGGAGGACTGGCGGGCGGATATTACGGTCGTCCTTATGGTTATGGCTATGGCAGTGGCTATAATATTGGATATCCGGCCATTGGTGGCTTTGGAGCCACCGCCGGCAGCATTTACGGCGCTTCTCCATTTTCCCCGTTAGTTTAAGTGGCTTAACCAACACGAAAAAAACGAAATCTTTAATAAAAACAATATAAATACTAAAAAAAAGAAAGAGTTGATATTGTAATCTATTTGTGGTCAAACTGGGCTAAAGTGTTTACAAAAAAATAGTGAAAGCTAGCAAACTAGCAAGGAAAATAATAAGTGAAGTTGGTAGGATTACCTACAGTTTCAAGTTTTTTAAACCGAACTACATGATCTTATTTTGTAAGATTTTGTGGGAAAAATAATTAATTATCATTAAGTCATATCGGAATAAAATAATAAGAAATTTAAAGAAAGTGGTAGTGGTTGTTTAAAAGAAAGAAAATCATGTCCAAGTCGTAGTGTTTGTTTAAAAGAAAGAGAACCCTGTCCAACTAAGCTTTTTGTAAGGCTTAAAAAACAAAAACTAAACCATCCGATGGCTACGTTTCACTTTGATGGACCACGATAAGGTGTTTATTTACACAGTGCTTAGTGCTCCTTTGACGAGTCCAATTGCTGTGCAATTCACAACGATTATCGCTTTCATTCATTAAAATCTAGGATGGTCTACCTCATTATTTGCCCAGCTCAATGGTAACACGAGCAGGGCTCATTCATTTACCTCCAGGTCGTCCCCGGAGAAGCTTAAGCAAATAGCAGAAAGCTTTGAGGTGGGACATCTAGCTAGCTGGACTTTGCAGACAGGAAGAGCTGGCTTTTTTAGATTTTAATTGCCGATAGTGTAAGCACTATTCCCACAGACACTCTCCTACACTCACAGGCCAGTCGAGCGGAGTGTCCGAGTGCCGTTTAATTGGTGTCTTTGTGTGTGTGTGTGACTTTTAAACGACTTGCATTACACATACGCCCCGTTGCACTCACAGCTCTCACTAAGAAGTTGCTCCATTTTGTTCAGTGTAAGTAAACACACACAGAGACACACACGGAGCACGCAAACAGAAAAACAAGCAACAGGATGTCGAAGACAGAACCGTGTCTTCTTCTGGGGCGGGGAGAAATGTCCGATGCCCTAACAAGCTACGTGAGCATGAATTATTATTTCAATTAACAGGAAAGGGGGAAAAAGACAAGTACTGCAGCAGGGCAATAAAGTCATCACCATTTGCATGTTCGCATGTGGCAGGATTCTTTAATAATTCACGCAGAAATGTCGTCAACTAATTGCGGTGCTTTGAGTTGCACGCTCAACTCTCTAATTGATGTAATTAAACGTAAATTAATAATCATTCGCTACTAATGACTTCTTGACATCTAAATATTTATGCAACCGAAAGGGTCTTGCACTAAATACCATTCTACATGCATTTTGTTGTTAATTACAACATTAAATAATTAAATAAAAAAAAATTTTAAATCTCGAATATCTTTAAAATGCTCTTAATTAATTGCAAAGTTATATCCTAAACGATTTAAAAAGTGCAACAATTTTTATTTAAGCTTATTAAGCTCTTGTAAATGTTATAAATAAATAACAACATATACATACAACAAATTTTTAAATCGCATTTTATGGCGTTTCACCTAATTGGATTCACATTAGCAACTCATTTCAATTTAACACATTCAATTTGAAGTTTGCCTATCTTTATGCTCCATAGTGTACAATAAAATTTATAATTAAACAAATAAAAACCTTTTAATTTTTCTAATTTAAAGACCAAATTTGAATAATTAATTTCATTAGGTTTCCACATAAAACTGAATTAAGAGCAAAGTTAAATAGGAATTTTTGATTTGTTAGTAAATATGTAATATTTCCTATTCATTATCTACAATTTGTTTATTTATAAATAGTATATGATATTTTCTGTGTAGAAAGAGACTAAAAACCATTAATATATATAAAATGTTTTAACGAATCAGATGTTCTGGCTTAGGTACCCTGCTGTTCAGAACTTCAGAGCATTTGCCTTTGACAGTCTGTACACAAATACGGAATGTGTCATCCGCTCGTCTTTTATCCTCTCCGGCGGACTCTGACTCTGATTGCGCTTCTCCTCGCTGCCCGTTTATCTTTTAATATCTCTGCGGGCACTCGCCAGCTGCCATAGGAGGGGTTAGGGGCATAGAAACGCTTGGAAACCGTGAGCCATTCATTGAATTGTACTGTTTTTTATGCGCTGCTCCGCCTTTCAGCGGGTCTCGCTTTTGATTTGGCCAGTGCTTTGCCAATTGCACTCGAAATCGCTGTTGCCGTTGCTGCTGTGTTTAAAATGGCAATCAGATAACACCTTCCTTTTCGCCATATTCAGCTCTCTGCTATAAAGCGCTATTGAAAGCCGGATACCAGGTAGCGGTGCTTGTGGCTGCTGCATTCAAGATATATATTTGCTTTTTATGCGTAGTTGGTCAGAGCACAGTGGGAGAAAAATAAATGTGTATGATTGAAAAAATATAGATAAGATATGATTAAAAAAAAAATCTATTTGGAGCCAGGGAATTCTCTTTCAATTATCTTAAATTATGTACATTGGAAAGTCACTGAATTTGGGAACTAAGATATTTCATTGCATTCTTTTAGACACATTTTTAAAAGATTTTGAAAACCATAACACTTTTTGTTAATCCAATTTAATGTAAACCAATCTCAAAAGCAAATTAATTACTTTCAACAGCTTTCATTCTCTGTATATTTTTAACCTAAACTCATTTTTATAACATAATTTTTTTCACAAATCCGATAAGATTAACCACCCATCCACCCACCGTGCGGGGAACGTGGCAGCCCTCCTCCTCCTCCTGTGCTAAACTAAACTGAAATAACGCGCCTCACTGACTGACTGACTGACTCAGTGGGCCGAACGGGTTGTGGGTCGCTCCCGGATGCCGACTGGCATAAGCTTTATACATTTTTACGCTTTGTGGCCTCCGCAATGTGTGTGTATTTGCATGTATATCAGCTCAAAGTAGCGTGAAATAAAAAACGTCGACACTTGAGGCCTTTGAGTGCCATATGTACGGGTATATACCATGTATGTATGTATGTATGTGGCCGAGTCCCGTCCGTGTTGAAGCGTTAAAATAAAAAAAAGACCGTATAGAAAAGAAGAAAAAAAAAGTAAATAAAAATAAAACAAGATGATGGCCAGCAAAAGCACAGCCACAGAAAACGGACCCAAAGAGTAGCTCCTCTTGTCCGGCGAAAAGGACTTGGTGCGGAAAATGAAATCTCTCTGGCTTGTGCTCCAAGATCTGTCCATCAAAGTGGCATCCTAAGAAAAGCACACTAACTAAGGTCTTCAACCGATGTCCAGATAAAGAACATATATCACTGTGCGAAATAAAAAAGAAAGAAGTAGAACATGTATTGGAATATTGCTGGTACATTTAAAGGACTCTAAAACCACTCAAATATATATTCCCAAATCGTTGACATTTCATTTCCTTTTAGAAACAATTTCAAACATTATTTTAATATCGTTTTTGTTCAGTGTGAAACCCAATAGGCAGGTATGAGAGCCTGCGGCAGGTGCAAGTGAGGCTGTGGCCTGGCCGCAACCGAAATACCTTCGCACCCTTTCATCAGCAAAGTGGCCGAGCAACAGTTGCGCCTAGTTTTCAAAAGGACCCCGTACCGAACGAAAGGATGATGGCTTCTCAACCCCAATCTTGGGCCGGGCCGCAAGCTCCTAGCCAAACAGTTTAAAGCGCATTAAACTTATCTGATGGGCAGGTCGACCAACAGACCAACCCGGAGAGTAACTATGTACACAGCTCGGGGAGCTCTAGCTGTGATAAGAGCCACTTGGCCTATCAATGCATTTTAAACGAGCCGCTCGTAAGCCAAACTAATGACAAATTAATATTAACAAAGCAATCTGCTGCTGCCGCCGCAACCGGCCCGCCTCCCTCCGGCAGGCCGGCAACATAAACAAATGCCTAAGGCAGGGTCTCGTCTCTGATTTGCCTGGAATGTTACTTAATTGGAACTTAATGTGCCTCGAATTGTTTACAAACACGAGCCACCAGGGGGATAGGCGACCGACGACCTGGGGGATGCGAAAAACCGGGTGGGGACCAAACGCAGGACGCAGAACGGCGGACATTGGGTCTTTAGATAAAGCAAAGTGGCGACAGCTTTGAGCAACACTTCAAAATGTGAGACCCGAGCGGGGTGAAAGAAAAATGCGTTTTAAAGTGACACTTGATGTAGGTAATGTGACAGCGTAACAAGCCAGCGAGGGGGACGACGAAATAAAATGGCATAAAACCGAATAAAATGAAACAAAATACAAAATACAAAAGGCAAAAAACCTGGTCCATTGTGAACTTCACAATGCCCTATTTAGGGTTTAAAATGATATGCTAAAATGTTGTCAATATGTTGGGAAAAGTAGAATATATTTTTCAAACCCATCAAGAATTTCTGTGATAAATAAGTTATGTTATAATTTACGTTTAACTAACTCTATATTTTCCTGGAAATTATTTTTTAGCGAATATGCTGAGAGTGAAGTATGTTGTGTATTGTGTGCCCGTTTTCAGACTCTGATCAAAATGAGGCCCCTAACAATCCGACCAGGGGCTTTAATTCGTTCCCTTCTTGGCCCAGACATAAGTCGACGACTCCGCGGCCGCCGGACATTATCTTAAGAGCTGGAGAAACTCCCCCCGAGCCCTCCCACAATAAGTCCTGCGCTGCGTCCAGCGTTGACAGCTGTTACAGCTGCAGAAATATGCAAATTGGAAGGCGTTTTAATAGATAAAGAGCGGAGGCTGAGAGGACAAGAGACCCACGCAGGACACTCGACGAAAAAGGAGACCATCGCCGCCCAGGCTGACAATGGGGAAAAAAAAGCCGTGGTGAAAATGTTGGAAAAAAAAGCGCGCAGCTAAGTGGAAGGCAGCCATAATAATGGCTTTTGTTGCATATTGTGAAGTTAAATGCGGGAAGCTTATAATCTCATTTGCCTCCAGGGAATTTGCGGATTTTAGAATCATTTTAAAAAGCTTCCGAAATAAAATGCAGCACTTCTGCAAATCAATAAATAGAATAAAATGTAATTAGATGTGTTTTATTTAATTGCCTCTAAGTATTTTAAAGAGACTCTTAAACAAGAGAAGATTTATTTTGAAACAATGTAAATAACTTCAATAAATTAACTTTAATTGCTAATTTTAAATAGAAATATATAATATAATCATGTAATCATATTTTAAAGATATCTTGGACTTATACAACTTATTTTGAAGAAGAGAATTCTTTTTGTATGCTTTAACATTGCTAACATCAATGTTAGCCTTGTTTAAAATGTCTTTGTTGTTCAACAAATAATTTAAAATTAAAAAAAAAAAATCCAAGACTACATTTTTACTAGATACCTTTTTTATAGATTCTTAAAATATTACATTCTTTGGAATTTACAAAAGTATGTTTAGGTATTCTGGATGATTAAGTAAATAAATTGTTACACAAAATGGCAAACGGCAAATTTCTTGTGAAGACTCAATGGAAAATGTTAATATTTTCCGCCAGCAAAAACCCGATGAAGATAAACAATCAGGTAGGAACCGAAGACGCCCACTTAGCCACCTGGCGACCCTCTTGGAATGTGTGAAGGCTCTGGTTCGTGTCCTTGTCCGCGGTCCCAACTTAAAATGCAAAACAAAAACCCGAGGGTTCGGCGGCTGCTTATTTACGCCGCTGCCAGGACTGGACGCCAAGCTGCGTTGTCATGCCCACGCCAGCGAAAATGTCCAGGATGCTTCGGGATGCTGTCCATCCAATTGGCAGGACCCAATCCTGTTGCGCCCTTTACGCTCTGCAGCTCTTTTTTTTTTGTCTTGTGTCGCTCTTCGGTCCTCTCGGCTCCGGCATTTGTTTTTCCGCACGCCCTTTTTTTTGCTGTTTTTTCCTCCATGCCCAGGACCGGGACCTTAACACTAAATTGACTTTTAATGCAAAATAAACCAAAATAATGTATTGCGTAATTTTCTTTAAAGAATTTTTACATTAGCATTTCAAAAGAGATTTTTCTTTGCTGCTCTCTGGAGCGCTCCACGGGCTCCACGGTTCCTCGGTTGGTTTTTCCCATCTCATTTTACCACCCCCGCCTGTCGTCGCATTTTCACGCCCTTGATTTTGCCATCCGTTCACCTTTTCGACGGTCGACGGTCGACGGTCGCCTTTTCCTCGGCCGCCGCTGTGCTGGCCATTTGCTAAGTGCGACATTAAATGTTGCGTGAGGATAATCCAATCTGCTTGACATGAATTTTAATTTGCATTGAGTAATTAGCCCAAGTTCATTTCGCTGGCCAGCTGAATAGCAGCAGCAGGACGATGTCCTTGCAAAATGCTAAATAGAATTAGTCTGAAGACAGTTTTAGCCGTTCCTCCATTCTCGTCGTCTTTCCGTCTATGCCATTGGCTTTTCCTTCCTTTTGGGTGTTCCTCCTCCGTTTCTCATACGTTTGCTTGATTTCGTACAAATTAAACTAATTTGGTTTTCCCTACCTTTTTCGGTTAGGTTTTTGGAGGACGTTTGGCACATTTGCTGATTACGCTCGTCCTGCACATCCTGGTCTTTGGATATACTACAGGTGAAAGTCAGTAATGCGGACAAAAAACCAGATATAAATAAAGCCAGAGGAATATTTTTGTAATTCGTTAAGAGCACGCCTCAAGTTCACAAAAGATAACAAAAATAAATACTAGAAATTCCAACTAAATCTATATTTATATTAATTATAAAGGGTATTATACTATTTTTAAATATAAAATGTGGATTTTATTATCCTTCACAAATTGTTAATAATCTTTCCTATCCAAAAATCTATCTATTTCAAGCTGGTCAAGAAAGTCCAAGTTATACAAGCTCCACTGTATCTCCGACTCCATGACTCTGGCTCGTCAGCAGGCAATTGAAACAAACAATAAAACGTGCGCTTTTCGTAATTTAAATCAGACGGAGAGATGGCGAAAAAAGGGACTTTTGCCGCATTTAAAGTTGGCACAAAGAGTGGCGGCTATGTGAGCGCGAGGGAGAATCAAACGAGAGATTGAATTTCTGCTTGCCTGCACTTTAATTTGCCAGATGCTAACGCAAAATGCTAAAAACACACGTACGCCGAAAACGAATTGAAAATCACACAGAAACACACCATCACACACACACACACACCGTAGAAAAAAAGCGTCACGAGGGGGGTCATAGTGGTGAGTTTTAGGGGGAACATAAACGCAATCAACAGCTCACAGAGCGGCATTGGGCAAAATAATAAATAAATGCATAATGGCTTTCGCAAATGACAAAATATTGCATCGCCAATCGGCAAAATATTAACACTCACTCAAACACACGCACATAAATCCACATATAAGTAGGTCGGCATTCCATCAGCACGCTGACGTCACATAAGCCACGAGAAATTATTGCATAGCGTGCACCACAAAATTTCATAAACCGGAAACGCAATCAAGCATCGCGTATACGCATCGTTGTTTGCCAGTCAAGCATTTTTATTCACCATAACTGCCCCCTCCCCATCCCATATTTTGGCCATTCAGTGACAAAATGCATTTATATTTTGCGTTAGACAAAATGCCCAAAAACCGCATTGAAATGCATTTTGCAAGTGCATAAGCTCTGTCGTCCCCGTCTGTCTCTGGTCCCCCCATAACATACCGTCTCTTTTTCGGGGCACTGGCACAGCGTCTCCCTCTCATTTGTTAGTGCGCAATGAACTGTGGAGATGAATTAACTCGATTTCGGCATGATTTGATGATGATTTGATTTGTTCCGAGACAGGCGGCACGGCCCAGTGGACCACCAACAACAGTCCTGCCAAGCTCGACATCGAAATTCCCCCAAATACACACTGGGGTGCACTGGAAATAAAAACGGGTTTAAAATAAATATTATGCATACGTATTGCATTCATTAATTTGTGCGGTAAAAAGAACTAATTACCATAAATTGTTCCTTTTACTTTAAATATTTTATTTAAAGTAGTATGACCGTTTTTAGTAAAAACTTTTTACACTAAAAATTAATCATAACAATTATTGATTATTTTTTTTAAACTTGAATTTATAAAATTTATGCTACACACCAATAAAAATAAGAAAAACGGTAAAGACCAAAGTATGACCGTATTCACACTACAAAATAATTATAACTATACACCACATGTAGTTGTCTCTTTATTGTTAATTTATTTAAAATTGGATTTATAAAAATTAGGCTACTCAAAAATAAAAAAAAAACGGTTAAGATCAAAGTATGACCGTATTCACACTACAAAATATTCATAACAGTATACCACATGTAGTTGTCCCTTTATTGTTTTTTTTTTTTATAAAAATTATGCTACCCACCAATAAAAACATGAAAACGGCGAACCAAAGAAACCCCAAAAAGATATATATTTTAAAATTTTAATTTACGAACGTTTTTCAATAGTGTCATAACAGCAATGCAGTTAAAAATATTATTTTAAATGTATATTTAGGAGCATTGATATGTTTTATAAACTGCTAACAATGAAATATTTATTATCAAATATTAAAAAAAAAAAATTGAATGGCAAAAGAGTACATTGTTGTACATAATATTTTTCTCTGTGTACTAATTCAGGCTCACACGCTGGGTAGCGGAACATTTTGCTTGAGAATCTCCGGATGAAATTGTAGCATACACATTTGGGCGCCGCTAATAGGAAAAACCAGAGCGCTTCGATGGTTGCGAATGTCATTACCGCAAACGCGAAAATTGCATTCGAATAGATGCAAATAGCGAAAATGCTAATGAACACTTACAACCAGCACGACCGCTTAATGCGCATAAATGAATTAATTAACCAACAACCTGTCGCCCAGCACGCAGCGGTGCTTCTATGCCAACCAGCGAAATGCAGAGATGAGCTTAAAGACTCCGCTTAAAATGGCAGGAGGGCGAACTCAAAAGTCATAAAAACATAGTTTTAATTACTGTAATTCAAACAATAAAAGTCACATTGCCCTTCCCCGTAGGATTGCCATTGGCTTTATATTTAATTAACCAACCTGTGTTTATTTAAATCAATTATACAAATTCTGAAAAGCAAACAAATTTTTACAATTTTAGAATAATATTAAACCGACAAAAAAATCGTTAATTACTAGATTTATTTTAAATGTTAGATGTTCAGCACACTAATGCATTTTTGTCATTCAATTATGAAATTGATGAATGTATTATTTAAAATATGGATTATGTGCAATTGGATTTGACAATAGATTTTTAGGTCATAACATAATGAGAAACAACATTTGCATAATTATGAAATGCTTAATGTAGGAAATTCCTATTCATTATATTTATTTTGCTTTAAGTGGATAAACTTAATTTGTGTAAAAATAAAGTTTGGAGTAAAAAACTAAACCTTTACATAAACAAAAGACTTAAATAGCAGTGACTTTTCTGATTTTCTTGAAAATATAAAAAATATATTTTGAAACACCATTCCGTTTATATATTTTGTTATATTAGCAAAAACGCAAGAGTTTATTTAAAGCTGTTTAAGCCATTTAATTTTTTTTTTTAAGACAAAACAAGCCTACTTTTAATAAGCTTATTTATATTAATTGCAACAGTTCGTCGATTCACATTTATTTTATTTTTTTAGCAAACGCCATTTTAAAATGAATAAATTACTTTGACATAAATACTTATATCTCCCATAAGCGAACTGTTTATGTTAACCTATTTACATAAATCCCGCAAAGATACATCATAATGCCACTACCTTGTTCGATTTTGTAAAGCTTTTTAAAAAAAAAAAAAAAAAGTCAAACAACTAAATGGATTTTCCCGCCAGATGCTGTTGTTGATCCTTGATCCAAACTGTGGCTGAACAAAAAGTAATTCAATTATCGTGTAACAAAAAAATAGCGCCTGAATGCATACAATTTGTAAACAATTTAAAAACAAATGTACTTTAATTGAATTGAGAGTCGGGCTTAATGTTATTAATGGAGCTTTTGGTCCTGATTGGCCGCATATACTTGTGAAAATAGTGAGCCGTGTGAAAAAGCCTTCGGGCAGATTGATTTTCACAGGTTTTTCGCCAAACTGTTTACTCAACTTATCAATGGTTGATGGGGCCTAAAAAAAAAAAGCTTCAAGCTTAAATCATTTCGTCAACTTGAATTGCTGGGAAAGCACTGGTCGTAAATGTCTAGGCTAAACAGGTTTGCATAATTATCTATTTGTTGACAAATTTCGCAATTAAATTTTAAGAAAATATCAATTCAAAACGGCAAATAGCATTTTGTGCACATAACTAGATGCGGGCTGGGCAGGAAAATTGGGTAGAGCCAGAGCGAGATGGCAAAAAGGCAGAGCCAAAATCGAGTGAAAAGGATGGAAGGAGCAACGTTGATGATGATGACACTAAATAAAAGATTTTATACTGTTGATTTTTGCGCTTTTTGCAACTTTGCACGTTGCATTGCACTTGATCTGTGTGCCAAACGTTACAACGACACTTCCAGCAGGAGTACGGACCGAAGACAGAGAGTTGGAGCTTATGGAAGGAGCTGGGAAGGATCGGGGTATTCCTGGCAGCAGCAGCAGCTGCGCCAGTTGTTTGTAGCATACAATCAGCTCGTTTCGTTTTATTGCCAACGTCGTCACAGAACAGTTCACCCAGTCCTTGTCCTTGTCCTCGTCCTCGTCCTTGTCATCGTCACCGTCGTCGCCGTCGTCGTCATCTTCATCGTCAGCCCGGCGACATCGCCCAGACACAAGACTTGACAGCAAAGCAAAATTGTATTTACATTCAATTAGTGCCAACAAAATTGTCTTTGGCTGCTTGCCGTAGACTGCGCCTAGTGCCACAACCAGAGCCAGTTTCATGACCGGGCTCAGATCCACACGGCCCAAAAAAAATATCGCCAAATTTGGGCACTCATTTGGAAGGTCTTCATATCAGAAGAAAGGCTTTACTCGTTCAACAAAATACTTTATGATTTAGGTATCCTAAGACTTTTCTATGAAAGAACTAGTGTAAATCATGATAAAAGAGATATTTGTTAAGCTTAACTAAATATTTATATTTGTAAATATCTACAGCAATGCAATTAAGACAGATTAAAGAAATCTTTCAATGAATAAAAACTTAAAATAATAATTTACAATAATCGCTTGAATATGTTTTCCTTGCTTAATCACTTTGTTAACAAGTCGTGTGTTGATTCACAATTCAAATTATTATTTCATTTGTAAAACAATACCTTCAAGCAGTCACAATTAATATCCCTTAAGCCACTATAAATTGCCATGATTTCCAAAGCATTTTTAAGCAACATAAATACAATTACAAGCCTCGATAACAATGAAATAAAACAATAACGACTTTAGTTTGTATTTTTTTTACCGTGCAGAAGTTCTTTGCAAGTCGGCTGAGCGTAAATTACTTTCCGCATTGGTGTAGGCGAGGATCTCGGCATGACCCCATGTTTGCAGCTTTTTAGTTGGGAGCTAAGTAATGTAAAATTTATTTTAAATAAACTGAAAATATGTTTTGGCTTGTACTATGTAGTTTTTTCAGCCGTTGCCGTTGCAGCCGCCGCTGCCAGGCTGACTGCCTGCCTGCCTGCTTATTTCTTGCCAAGCATTTTATTTATGCATAACAAAGCACCACTTAAATCTGCTCAGCATTTTACTTTTTTCCTTTCTTGGTTTGCGCCGCTGCCTCAGCCGCCGCTGATGCTATTCGAAAGTTTGCAATCTGCATGCCAAGTTGTCGACGTTTTCACACAAACAGGCCGGGGAAAATGGGGAAACTGAAAGCACAGAAAGAAATATCTAGTTCTTTTTATGAAGATTTACGAGGTTTTTTATTCTATTTTGCAGCAATTAGAAGAGTTTAAAACCTTAAAAGTAAACTGTTACATTTTTAATATCTCTTTACTGAACTCATTTTCATTAACAGATTTCAACTTCTGGAAGTGCTCAGAATTTAAATTATAAAATATATTTAAATTTCAACTTCAAGAGCAATATTCAGTACCTAAAAAGATGTCTAAACTATATATTAGTCATGAGAAATGTATGAAATATTTTTAAAACTTTTGTTACATTAATTTTTAAAGTAAATTTTCCTTGTTTCTGATATTCCCGCTTTGCATCTGCAATTTACTTCCCCTTCATTTCTTCCCCTGCAGGATAAGGAAGTGGTTGTGCTGGCAGGATTGCAATGGGGTGCCGGATGGCTTGGGGTGGCAACTTGGATCCATCCTTGCCGTGTGCCGAGTGCAAGTGCCTGCGCGTTTATAACTTTTCAACTGTTGTATGAAATTTTACAAATTAGATTCATTTCTATGCATTGAAATACATTTTCAAACTTTGCAGCAGAAAGTTGCCAGGATATTTGAACATGCACATGCACACACATGAGGACCCTGCCAAAAGGACCAGTGCCAGGGACAACGACTCCGACCCAGTGACACAACATGCCAAAACTCAGTCTATTAGTTTGTCAGTTTATAAAGAAACATGTATAAAAGTTTTACATATTTGCAATTTCATTAATACAAAACTTATTTGCAGGCCCAAAAAGACCGACCGACAGACCGAGCCCCTTCAATCCGCCTTCCTCTCCTGGTCCGCACCAATTTTTGTTAATTTCAACTTGAGCAGTAACCCACACACACATACACACACGTACAGGGAGATTCATCCAAAGTTGATGCTGGGAAAATTCCAGAAATTGAAATGTGAAAACTCAAACATTCCGATGATACAAAAAAAAAGGAATGGCAAAAGAAATACCCAACTCGAACATCATTTGCAGCAATAAAGGAAGTCAGGATACTCGACAGACGCAGCAGGAGCAACAGCAATGCGTCAAATGAATTGAGGCGTGGTCGGTGGCGGATGGGCGGATAGCAAGTTGGGCATGGAGGCGTGGGGCGTGGTTGGCGTCCCCACAGAACTCACTCACTACGACATTATCATAATTAATTAAAAAAGTTTTTTAAATCAATTTCCAAATGCCACGAAGTGTCTGCAAAGATGTTTGATGAACCGTGGCCAACGAGAGCAGCAGCTGAAAAAATTGATAACTTTGGCTTGTCATGGACAAGGACGGAATCGAGAACGGGAATGAGAATGAGAATGGGAACGGAATCAAAAGCCGGGTAAAAATTCCAAAGCATAAAATGACTGCCAGCTTGATCCACTCAAAAATATTCTGGAAATTCCTCGATTAGTATTTGCAACGGGTCAAAATGTCGGCAGTGAATGGACTTTTATCCAAATGAAATCAGATGCGTTTTGGCCAGATGCAGAATATTTTTGCATAAGTTTTTCATTAAAGAAATAGGATAGCCTTGAGGTAAAATAAAGATGGGAAATATTATTCTTAATTCTATATATGAGATTATTTTAGAAGATTATTTTCTTTGGTTAAATATATTTTAAAGTCTTAATAAAAAGCTTCTATTCCTTAAAAATTCTATTTCTTTTAGTCAAGGGATTTTTTTTATTGTAAACTTTGATATCACAAGATTATCTTTCTTGTTTCTTTTAATAATAAGATATAACAGGAATCACAAAAATTAAAAAACAAATGTTAAATAATTAATTCACACTGATTTTAAACCTTTTAATCGTAAAACAAAGCAAATGTTCCTTGAATTTGGTTACTTTACAAAGTGTTGCATACTTTTTGACACCTTTATAAAGGATTTCAAATCCCCTAAGCGCTCTGTATTATTTATTTATTGAGTTTAGTAATAAACACTAATTGCCAAATTATTAACTAACTCCATAAAACATATATTAAGGATATTTCTTCTTAAATATAATGCAATGCCCAATAAAATCCACGTTTCATATCGTTTTTATATTTATAGTTTATTATCCACAAGGAATTTACACTATATACTATAAGCTGTGACAAACGATTTCCCTCCCATAGTAATTCTCGCCTGGTTTACCATTAAAGAAATTGAAAGTACGAGATCCAAATAGATGGTAGTACGAGTTGGGAATGCGGCAAATCAAAAAGCCAGGCTAAAGTGCAATGCATTTTAATTTGGCCCGCAACTCACACAAGACCAAAGGGAAGCGCGGTGGGTGTACGTACTACGTACACACATATGCAGGCTAAACACGCGCGCGGAGGCAGTACATAAATAAATACTTGAACAAATATTTACAACTCTGGCGTGGAATTATAAGCAGCGCCCGAAAGTATGCACTACAAAAATGAAGCAGGGCGCGAGGTCCTGTGTGTGCGAGTGAGCGTCAGCTCACACCTGTTTGCACGGCAGTGTGTGTGTGTGTGTGTGTGAGTGTGAGTGAGTGCAAGTGCGCATAAAACGCGCCGCAGCAGAAGTGAGCAGTATTTTTATTTATTTGCCGCGGTGTAGTTTTTATTTTTCTTTGCCCATTTCCCCACTTTTTGTTTCCCTTCCAAATATATATGGGGAGCCTCGAATTCAAACACAGAAAACAAAAACCTACCAAGGGGAATTCGAAATTCTCATTTTAATTTAGCTTATTTCAATCAGAGACCTCTAGAGGTTTTGGAATCCAGGGACGTAGGTTAACAGTAAGCTTCTGCGTTTAATTGAAATGTGGGAAGGATGGAATAGTCATAACCTAGTTTAAGTTCTAATATTTTCAATTAAATTTCTTAACAACAAAATAGCTTTTTCTAAGGATTTGCAATTGTAGCAGGCCTAAAACCAATTTAAAAATAAATATATATATATATATTTTTTTTTAAATTTAATAATCTTGGCTTTAATATCTCAAAGTCACGTATATTATATTTAGGAATTTCGTACAAAATGCGATCCTAATTATTTAATTTTTTTATAATTTTATGCTACTGATTTATGTGTTAGACAGGACCAGACTTCTTTAAATCGAATAATTTATTGTCCACCGTTGGGCGCCATATATATTGCTTTGAAATTTCAATGATATTCCAGGAAGCAAACATTTTTAATTAAAATTTATAAAACTTAAACCATTATTTACTAATTAAAATCTACAACGAACCTGACAGTTTTTATAGGGATTAATAATAGGTAACTATCATAAATCGCATACTAAGTCATTTTTAGCCAAATATTTGTTTTCAAATACCCAAATGCAAGGACTTACTTGTGGTAATATTTATTTTTCTGTGTAAACTGCATCACCAGCTGCAGAAAGGCGGTGGGCGTGGCGTACCCGCACACACATATACACATACGTAAAGCAGATAAGGTTTGCAGAGTGCAGGCTTGTTTGGCAAAGCGCCTGTTTAACACTTAAGATATCGTATTTCTTAAACTCGCATGTCTGTAGATGTGTTTGTATGCCACAAAAGGAGCAGGAGCCGGCGAAAGATAAATATGCATGCGGTTGGTTTTATAAGGTGAGTGTGAGTATGAGTGTGTGTGAGTTCTGGTGTATGTGTGTGTGTGTGTTAGCCATTTAAACAGACGCGCCTCCTTTTTGCGCCGCCTTTCGCGCATTTGCATGCAATAAAGATGGCGGGGCGATAACTAGGTTGCCAGCCATTGTTTGCCTTTTCCCCATATTTCTCATTCTCTGCTGCTCAAGTGTGTGTATGTGTTAGCCGCACTAGTTGGCCGCCAAAAGCAGCAGACAGCCAAGCAGCAGCTAAAATAAAAGGCAAAGTCCGCCAACTGGCGTATCCTGCCATTGCCACTGCTTCTTCTTTTCCTACTGCCCGTGCTGCTGCCGCTGCCATGCATTATGCAGATGTACACCAGGTTCATGAATATATATGCCAGTACTTTGTCTACCTATACAGGCATAGCAGCTGGCACTGCTCAAAAATAATCCAAACTTTTAAAAATTAAAGTGAATTTTTAATAAAATTCTACAGATTTTGCTGATTCAAGTTCCAAATACTGGCCTAAATTTATTTTTGGGAAAAGGGAACTTGAGTAAGGATAATTTTAATAACTTTGTAATGGCTTTAAAAGAAATAAATTAGCTCCTTTCAAATTTTATCATTTTTTTCCAACTTTCCACAAGTGTACCCATATCCCTATGCATCCGTTTTAGTGCGAAAAAAAAGAAGCAAACAAAGCAAACTGACAAAATGCCATATGTTTGTGCGCGATAAGCTGCACGACCCCTGTGAACCCACATCCAGCGAAGCCAACGACGACTATGACGACCCCATTCGAGAAACTCAAACCTGTAATTATAATTTAACACCGCATCAAATCAAACAGCTTGGCAATAAGAACAAAACACCAGCAAATCGATGTCCAGGCACATCGCACGCACATTTCCCCAGCAAAATGTACGAACGAGAACGCCAAACCTGAATCACTCAGCCAGCTCAAAGCCGGTGGATGCCTGGCTAACGCTGGGTAAATCAAAAATGTGCAATAAAAATTGCAATAAAGCACGCTTCAAAAGGTGGCACAGGCAGGAGCTAGCTGGTTCCGGGTTCCCGGGTTCCCGGGTGTGAGAGGAGCCCAGGGAATTGGCTGGCTGCAGACCTCATCTAAGCAACGATAATGATTGCAATTCATTTTTATGACCACCAACTAACCGTTTCCGGGTATTACGATTCTCCAACCCAATTTGCCGGCGCACGCATATTACAAAATTCAATTAAAGCGAGTGATTTACAAGAGATGGTAACGTTTTATGCCAGGCAGGTCATTTTAAATCAGACCCTATTTGCCATTTTAGTTTAAAATTAACATAAAATGGGGTTTTGATTACACAATTTCTGTATATAATTAATCCCATTGCGTAGATTGAGTTTGCCTTTAGTATATTATCGAATATTATCAGGCTCTTCAGTTGGTTGCAAGTTATTTTTTAAATTTATTATGGAAATAAACAGTTGGAAAAACAGTTGTTACTTAATAACCTTATTGTTATAATTATTCCACAGATGCAATTACTTTCATACCTTTTTAACCTTTGTCAAAAGCAAATTTATACATTGCAATAAAGTCGCTGCAACATTAGTGCTATATTTATAGTGGCTTTAACCGCATCAAGTCTATGAGTGGAACATTCGTGACTCTGGGAGCGAAAAGGGCATCTAAGCAAACACTAGAAATGCCAGCGTGGACCGTCCTTTAGCTTATTTTTAGTCGCGTGGCCAGAAGTGGCCCGAGTGGCCAGCTTGAAGTGGTCAGGTGCACCACGGTCACCTGTCGTCGCCAATCAACCTTGACTCGAACTGGGCGTTAGGAGGTGGAAGGGGTCATGGACCCACTATGTAGTTTTGCCACTACCATAACAGTTCCACCTCCGCACAAGGTTGCCTTTTGCTGTTAAAGCACTGAGCGAAAAAATGTTGTTTACCAGAGAATTTATTCAATAATCATTTAATTGAATTAAGCATTTTAAGACGAATCCTTATATTCTAATAATTTGGTTAAGAAAATCAAACTTTGCCACACCTTGAAATATCTGAAATAATATAAAAGTTGTTTTAAATCCCTTAAAAATGTTTATAAAACAACAATATTTATGAGACACCAAATTTTGTGTTTATTTGTTTTTACATTTTCTAGCTTAGTTTTGGACACCTTTTGAAGGTTTTTCAAACTCTAGTGACTTCTTTAGCATCTTCTCATAATTAATTCTCGAATCCGAATCATTAATAATTTAAAAAATGTTTTTTTTCTCAGTGAACTGTTACTGTTGAATGGCTTTGGATGCGGTTTGCTTGGTTGGTTGGCCAGCGATTTTCCAATAAAGTGAAATTGCATTTGATGATGCCAGGATATGTTTTTTTCCAATCACTCTGATATTTTTTCGCCCTTGCCCCCGTACCGTCCGTTTTTGTTTTCCCACGGTGTTTTCCTTTTGCTACATCCATTTATAGAAAATTGAATAAGAGTGTTGGTGGCATTGCGACAAACTGGTCGACGAATCAGCGCGTGATTGGAGGCGATTTGTAGAAAGGTGAGCATAGGTCCTGGCTACCGGTTCCTTCCTGTTCCGCGAACCGCCACTCCTTCTCCTGCCAGCGAAGGAAGTGATTAGTGTACGGGCCCCTACACGGCTTCCTTGCGTGAGTCGGATCGGATCCCGGGAGCAGGAACAAAGCAAACACGACGCTGCCGAGAAATCCAATTTGTAATGGGGGAGCTGGTTGGCTGAGTTGCCTTTGATTTCATTGTTTCACCAAGTTACCTACCTATGTACACTTGAACACTTGTAGGGAATATTTCCTTGTAAGGATTTTCAGCATTTTCTGCTGCACAAGAAAAATCACTAGAAAAAGTTATCAATTCTGTTTTAGCCAAGATGCATTCGACCAAGATTAAGGAGGGCGATGACAGGGTGAGTTCGAATTGGCAGCAGTCACATGTCGGTCAGCCATTAAACGTGGTCAAGCTAATTTGAATGCCTTGCTTAGGAGGAGATGGAGCTAAACCAAATCTGGCGAGGATGTCGTAAAATCCAGGGTGCCATTTTTCGTTATAACTTGGACATCTGTGCCGATATAAAGCAGCACGATCCATGCTGCACCGGCTTTGTGTCCGGTGAGCACAACATCCGCCGGGCACATTTCCGTTTTTTTATGACCCTTTTATGACCCTCCCAAAACCTCTACAGAACCAATTTTCACGGCCGTACTGGGAAAGTATCGCAAGGTGGCCGGCATGTCGGAGTCCGAGCTCCGGGATGTCACTGACTACTTTCAAATTCGGGATGGACGGGTGGCGTATCGACAGTTTTGCAAGGTGGTCTGCAGCGAAAGTGAGTTCTACTAACCGAAATTTTGCACCATCTTGGTCAAAACTATATTATCTTAGCTCTGCACAAGGCCGCCAAAACGGACCTGGCCACTGGACTGGAGTGGAACGATCCCTGGCATGTGAATGTCATTCCACATCCGGAAGATCGTCGGCGTCTCTGCCTGATCCTGATGAAGATAGCCCAGGCAACGCACATACCATTAATGCCTTATTTTCAGGACTACGAACTGGTAAGTACAAACTTTAAGATTAAGAAATAGCTAACTTATACTCTCTTAATCCTTTTAGATTGCCCAAAATGTGGGCGTGGTCACTGTGTCTCACTTCTCACGGGTATTACACTTCATGAAGATACCGCTATCGGAGCAGGACTTTCTGCTGCTCTTGAGACGCTACATGAAGGATGGTTACTTGGTCAACTATGTGGCCTTTCTTAAGCACATCGACAACATTATGGCTTATTTGGGTGATAATCATCTTCTGGATAATTCTCACGTAAGAACAACAACAAAGAGTAAATTAATTAATTCCAAAATATATATATTTTATTACAGGACATTATTAAGAACTTCCCGGGACGTCTGGTAGACTTGGAACTGTCGCAGCTGCCGCCAATTAATGGCTGTCAGCTCGTGCATCCCATCTTCCCGGATGCCTGCAATTACCCCAAAAAGAATCGCAACCAATGCGACATCGTTTTCTGCATTCAGAACTATGTCTACAAGAACCAAGTGCGTACCTCGGAGTTCCTGGCGAGCTACGATACGCTAAACTTGGGCAGCATCACCAAGAATCAGTTCGAGCGAGGACTGTCCAACATGGGTGTTGGCAAGTACCTCAGCCAACGGGAATTGGGCATCCTTCTGGATCGCTACACAGACCCAGTGGACATCAATCGAGTGCGCTGGCGTAACTTTGTGGATGAAATCGATTCAGGTGGAGTGTGGAAACAGATCTGGGTTTTAAATGGTCCAACCGTTATCATTTTTCTTACCTTTTCCAGTCTTCACCATTAAGAATCTGGACAAAATGCCGCAGTGTGTGGTGGAGTCACCACCGCGTCACATCCAGGAGCTGCCGAGACCAGGTGCCGTAGACTGGCAGACTGTCCCAGCGAATATCCGTGATTTGTGTGAAGATGCCATGGCCAAGATACGCATACGCATCCGCAACCGCAGGCTCTATCTGCATCCTTTCTTCCGCAGCTATGACAAGTGAGTGAAATCCCTTACCTATCTGTCCCCCTTATTCACTGTTTTTTTTCCAGGCTGAACAGCGGCCATGTACGCTGCAACATTGCCAAGCAAATCTTCCGCACCAATGGCATCTTGCTGACTGATCAGGAGCAGGACGCTGTCCTAAGTCGTTATGGTAATGAGTTGGGCTTCTGTTACACCAAGTTCCTGGACGATGTGGATCCCGCCGAATATGCCATGCCTGCCATGGTCACCAAACAGGAACTAGTAGAGTGCCCGCCCTTCGCGCGCGACAACTTGGACCCGGAGGATCCCAGCGAGGAGGTTATCGTGCGCATCCTGACCAGTTGCAAGCGTCAAGCTCTCGTCAAGAGCGTGTCCGTCATAGAGTTTATGACGGACTACGATCGCCATCGCGAGGGCGAAATCATGGAATCGGACTTTAAGCGGGCCCTAGACAATTCCAGTGTGATTGTCACAGAGGAGGAGGCCAAGATCCTGTGCAACATGTGAGTCCAGTTGAATTTTAAAAATAACTTTTTATTTACTGAAAATATTAACCTATTTGTTAACCCCAGCTTCCGTTCTCCCCGTCGCTCCGCCTGCATCCGCTACCGCGACTTCTGCAAGGCTCTGGATGAAGTCTTTATCCAGCTGGATACAAGTATGGGTGACGAGGTGATCACAGCGGTGCCACTGCTCCACCTACCCAACTTGGACTGCGTCGACTGCTTCCTGAGCTTCGATGAGCGAACTATCTGCTCTCAGGCATTGATGAAGCTGGCTCGCAAACCGGACGAGATCTCCAATCTGAGCCAGGTATTCAAGGACTTTGACCGCGAACAGTGCGGATCGATCACACAGAACCAGTTCCTGCGCGGCCTCACAGTGCGCCAGATGCACGAAATGTTGAGCAGCCGCGAGTTCCAGGCCATCTGCAAGTGCTTCGGCGTGAAGAAGGGCCTGTGCATGGAGTTCAACTATCGTGAATTCCTCAAGATCCTGGACGTGCTGTTCACCACCGGCCAGATGAAGCGTAACTATTAAATTCGATTCGATATTTATGCGCCGCTCTCCAAATTCTCAGTGTGCACCACATGTCGTATGTCTTTCGTTGGCAAATAAACAAGTCGTATTTACTTGAGAGTTTCTTTAATGTAATTCGCTTTAAAACTGTCTGATCTCTTATCGTTCAGTAAAGTTAGGTTGTATCTTCGCTTGAGAATGTTTTCTTTTTTTGTTTACTTTTAAGGGGAGAAACTACAATTACACACGCATCGATCTCTTCTTGAAATGCTACCTAAACCTGCCCATCCAGCACACAATCGGCATCTTCCATCTGCTCTCTCAGTTAGCTTTTTTGTCGGACGATTTCATATATAGATTTTTTTCATATATAGCTATAGTAATGTATACATAGATTTGATTTAACAATTCGCAATCTTGCTGTGGTCTATACAATAGTAAGGGTAAGTAGATAATGTTCTTGTGTGGCTTTAGACTTTTATTAAAATATAAATCTCTTCCCTTTCGAAGTGTGTATATAAATATAGATATATGTATTATGTATGCATGTATATATGTAGTCTATGAGCGTAAATACATACCCGAAAACAAAAACTTATCTGGCGTTTTCGCTTTCATCTGCTCAGTATTATTATAATGGTGGATTTGTTTGTTTCTTGTAGGTTGTATTTCCGGTTGTCGTATATAGTTTTTATCTATTCTTTGTTTCAATCGAACGGGAACAATGCAACTCGATGTTCCAGCCAGTCAATGCTTGCTTGCTTGGTTTCTTGTTTCTTGGTTTATAATTATTATTACATATTACAGTTAATTCATAACTAAAGTTAAACAAATACTTATACTCTATTGTATGTATGAAACATTTTAGCTGTATGTGTTTTTGTTTTGTAAGTATGTTTTTTTTTTCTTCCGTTTCCCTGTCCTGCTGACACGTTAAACAATTACCTCGCATAATGTATGGGACTACATTAGAAAAACAAATTAGTTTCGACACACAGACAACGTGAGCGGGGCATGGCATTATTTAGTTTGGTAAATGTTGTGTGCTATGTTTTCTCTGCAAGGTTGTCTTGTGGGTTTTCCAAGGGTTGAAGGGTTGTTGGTGGGCGGTTGGTTGGTTGGTTGGTTGGCTGCTTGCTTGCTTGCTTTGTGTGGTTACCTTTAGCCTGCTTAATGAGCGTGTGGCTATGAAAAATTAGCCACTTGCTGAAAAATTATATCTCTCTAGGCCTAACTATACGTATGTGTGCTTTTGTGTGTAGTGTGTGTGTAAGTGTATATTTGATGCTTTACTACTGCTACTCTTGCTGTTCTTGTTGCTCCCTTTGCTGATGTTCTCAAGTTGCTGTTGTTGGAATGGTGCTACACATCAAGTGTGTGTAGAGGTGTTGTAAAGGTAGCTGCTGTTGATAATGTTAATCCCAGCCAGCCAGTCTATTCAATGCAATGAGTCCCTCTTTACCGTTTTATATATATTTTTTTTTCAGATATATACAAACTAGTATATATGCGTTTACTCAGATGGATGTGTGTGTGTGTTGTATTTGTAGTAATGCTAAAAATGAGAGAAATTATTCATTTTTTTTAATTGTTTATGCAGAGGAATATGCATTCTACTCACCATAACAAACTAAACTAGGTAAAATTCAAATAGTTTGTAGTTATCTGGAGAATGCGTTATACCCAATGCCCACGTCCCCGCCCGTTTAGTAGGGCTGATGCCGCTGCTGGCGTCCACCGCCGCCACCGCGCTGCTTTCCGCCGTTAAAGTTACCGCCGCCGCCACCTGTTTTTTTTAAAACAAAACGTTCAATAACAAGAGTTAATCCATGTGTAATTTGCAACATTTAAAAAAACGCAAAGAAAGACATGCTCAACATCAGCGGGAAAGGTAGGAGGAGGGACTATCTAAATTTTTCGGTAACTACGCCAAACTTATTGTTTTTTTTTTTTTGGGAAAATTTTGACCAACTCTAGGATAAAGCAAAATAAACTAAACATAAGTTTTGGAAAGTGGCCAATGAAGGTTAACAACCGAAAACGATGGAACTGAACAACTGAAATCTAATTTTGCTTTACAAAACTTATTATTGGCGAATAGAGAGACTATATTCAACAGATACATGGATAGAGGATGAAGGCCCAACGGTTTCGCTGGTAGATAGTTGCTGGGCTTCGTTTTAGTGTTTATACCTTTGGGGCCGCCGCCGCCGCGGGGTCCGCCGCCACCGCGACCACCGCCCATATTGCCACCGCCACCACCGCCGCCGCCATAGCCGTTACCCTCAAAGCCGCCGCCGTACCCGTATCCGTCTTTAGATTGCGATTGGATGGATGGCGTGGTTTTGGTTTTCGTTGTTCAATCGCACAAAACGTGTCGTTGATTTGGTGGATTTTTGTCGAATAGAAGATTGATGAGAACACAAACAAAGCTTAGCTTATAAAAATGGTGTAAAGAGAACTCGAACAAAAAAATAATGGAATGCCTTGTGTTGCCAACTAGCTAAACAAATGTTCCTAACAAATTTTAACTCTTAAAAACAATTAAATTATATAAATCGAAACGTGAATTGCATAAGTTTTTTCTGTATTTTTAATTATTTAAAAAAATTGATTAAGAATTCTGATTAGGGTCATAGAATTTAATTCGTATATTAAATATATGAAATTGAATTTATAGAAAATATATTAAATATTATTAAAGTAGAAAAATACTAATTTTGATTATTTTAGGTTTCTTTTGATTTAAGATATAAACAGTAACAATATTAAAGTAAAATTTTGATTATTTACTAAAAAATAATTATTTTTAAAGTAATCTTTTTTATAAATTGTGTTATCTACGTCTTAAAATTTTTGAAAATTAGAGTATTAAGTTAGGTTTTGTTATAACAACTTAAGCTAAAGTACATAATATTCACTAAATCAAAGTCTGTACACTGAGACAGACTCTATAAAGTTCCTTGAAATAATTGTAACCTAAAGTATATACCTAATAAATTCAGTTAAACATTTGTGTTAAATGAACTCTTCTCATAATTTGTGTAGTTAATAGTTGGCAACATTTGTTGACTGTGATTTCTAAACTAGGATCAGGGTTTCGGTTGGTTTGTTTGGTTGGTTGATGGGTTTTCTATTTCATTAAGTTTGGTCAAAATTTTTGCTGCTTAACTTGGAGGACGACGACGCCGCCGCGCCGAGGGGAGACAATTCAAATAGCACATACCAAGAGATAGCTGGAAAGGAATGGGATGGTGCTCCCGATCCGGAGCAGTTTAAGGGGAAGTGGGGTGTTCATGGGGGCGGCAACTGAAATACACACAAAATTGTTGTCTTTTTTTTCGTTTTTTTCTTTTATTTGCTCATTTCTCGTTTTTGTGGATTTTTTGATTATAAGATTGATGGTTAAAATGTTTATCCGTTATTGCTGTAGCTCAAAAGTACAATAAGTTGTTGCTTAAACATTTGGTTGTTGTTTTTGTTGTTGTTGTTGGTTGCTGGTACACAATAAAAATTTAAAAAACAATTTCTCTCGCTCTTTCTCTCTCCTGGAGAGGAAACAGGCGCAAGGCGGCGCTCACACATACATGCGGTTCGATTTGTTGTTGTTGTCATTTGTTATAAACAATATAACTCTTGTTGTTGTTGTTGTTGTTGCTGTTGTCTCAGATTTTTGTTAGTTGTCTCGACTCGACTTATTAACATGTTTCACAATGTATTGCAATGGATTTCCCAATTCATTTTTCATCCGATTTCTCGTTTTACAGCACTCGTCTTTATGCATTTATGTTTTTTAAAATTTTTACCTCATTTTCTTCCACACAACAATTTCAGCATTTCAATTTCAAATTATAGTTTTTATATTATATATTTTAATGTTTGATTTTTTTCGAAAATTTTCGTAAAGTAATTTTTGCCAAAAGAAAAAATTTGTGAATTCATTTGCTGCTCTTGTGTGTGTGTATTTTGAATGTCTCACCTCAGCAAAAAGTTTGCAAATTTGCATTTTTCTTTACTCTCTTATTTATTTTATTTTTTGTTTTTTTTTTTTTTTTTATCAAGTTCCTTTAATTGGGATTTTGCAAGGGTCTGGGGTTTGGGGACGGGAGAAGGGAGGACGATGCGGAGTCTGTCGCGAATATTCTTGTGTGTCAATAGAAAACGTTTTGCGAAAAACAAAAACAAATGCAAATAGTCAACAATTTGTTACTTTATACTCGAGTTAATATAATTGATTATAATAATTACTCTTTGTTTTTATTTTGCTCTTTTTTTTGTTGTTGTTGTAGCTGTTGTTAAAAACAAGAAAACTGGTTTGTAGCTTAAGAATTGTCTCAGAAATGGTTTTGACAATATTAATATAATTCATTATAATATTACTTTAGTGGTTTCATATCTTATCTTTTTTTTTTGTTTTTTTGTTTTTGTAGAGTTTTTCAATGCATTTTACTAAAAACAAATATTAATTACGCTAAATTACTTGTAAATATATACGTTTTAAATGTAATAGAAAAAGGAAGATTTAAGTAAAAATTAAAAACGTTACAGTTACAGTTAAGTGAAAAGTTAACACTTGTTGGTGCGGTTTTTGCATGGCGGAGGATTGCTCGATTTTTCTTGATTACTCGATAACTTGATTGATTGCTTGGTCGGTCGCTTGGTTGCTTGCGTTGCTTGGCTTGGATGTCGGTTCTACGAGCCTCGGACACACCGCTGGTTATCGGTTAACTTGGACAAGACAAACGCGCGGCCTGCGATCGTTTTTGGATATTCGCTTTGGGTGGTTTTGTGGTGGCTTTAAATTTTTTTTGTTTTTTTTTTCGAGTTTAACTTTCATTGGGGTTTTCATTAAGTTTAGTTTGCTTTTTTCGTTTTTGTGAGGCGAAACATCGGAAAATTCGGTATTACAATCATATAATCGTATAGAAATATGTTCAAAAATCATAATTACGAAAGTAACATTACATACTTAAGTGGAAAAGCGTGTGGAAAGTGGAACCAAAACACCAGCAGATCATTAACTGTCAATTCTCAGGTGTTTATTCATTTATCAAAAGATGCTAGTCGGTGTTCGAGTTCCCGTTCCACGCGCTTTTCCAGTGTTGGTTGGTTAGTTTTAGAATTTTTTAAGTTGGTAGAGTAACGGAAATGGAAATTATAAAGAAATTAAGAATATATATATATTGTTGTGTTAAGGTTTTAATATAAAGTGTGGGGCACAAAATTATTGCTATATAATTGTATGGTAAGTATATGTAGGAGGTATACAAAAATTTTGTTTTCTATATCAAAAAAATTGTTTTCACATATAAACATCATATAATCGGTATAATAATTAATTAAAAAATATATAGCATAAAATGTATAAAAAACTTTTCTCTCTTGCACAATTTTTAAGGGGAATAAATGTCAATATTATTTCTTATTTTGTTTAAATTGTTTTGTTTGGTTTTTTTTTAGTTTGTTTTGTGTACAGACAACTTGCTAAAAACATTGAGAAACATGCATTTTTATTTTGTAAAATATAATTCACTCAAAGTTTATGAATATTTAAAAAAAATGTGTATTAATGTACAAATGTATATATAATTGGTATACAGTCAAATTGTCGACGCACATTGACAACATTTGATTTGGTTTGGCAAAAAGATAAATTTCAAGTTCTTTTAGCTCTTTCTGCTCGATTTCAAATTCAAATATGTACGAGTTATACAAGGTATATTATTATTATACATTTGCAAATAGCAGAAATGCTTATGTATGTGTGATTTGCTTGTTGGTGTTGATTGACTTAACATTTAAAAACCATAAGAAAAAAAATTATATAAGTATGTGTATTATATGCTTGAATTAAAATTACTAAAATTGACGAAGTGTGTTTTTGTTTAGCTTTTGATTGTTGGAAAAGTTTCATTTTTCTTTTTGCTACAATTAAGATGTTGTTCTTGATGTTGCTTGCTACTGTAGTTGTTACTATTTGCTGTCGTTGTTGCTCAGTAAGTTAGTTAGTTGTTGTTGTGGTTGTTGTTGTTCTTTAACCTGGAATCAACGTATGAACGTGCAGAATGCCGCAATGCGCTTGCGGTGCAACTAAAACAAGTCTCGAAATTGATTGTTTCCTTGACATTACGTTACGTTAAAGGTCTCTCACGCAAAATACATTTTTCTTTCGTTTCGTTTCGTTAGTTTTTTGTTTTTTGTCAAGAAAGTGCAGCAGAAATGCAAATAAAGCAAATAAAAGAACGATCTCACGAATTGGGCCGGGGGTGCTGCAGAATGTTTAATCCGGAATGATAATATATACCGGTTATCCGCTGCGATGACTACGAGGACTCTTGGGCCCCGGCCCGTAGATCTTAAGAGCTGTATGGTTGTTGTACTCTTTTCGTTTTTTTGTAGTTGTTTTTTACAAGGATTTGCCTTAAAATAATACTATCAAAAATAGTACCATAGTTAAATGTTACGTTTTTTTTTATGTATAAATATATAACATTTGTATATATTTGATATAAATATATATGGTAGGTATATTGACGTATGGTGCATACGAAAACATATGCATTGCAAGAACGTGAATATTATCCCGTTGCCGGAATAATAATATGTTTCTAAAAATATATTTATATGCTATATATAAGGTATATATATTTTTAAATAGACATTGAATCAAAAGCTTTGATTACGTTTTGTTTTTGTTTTTGTTTGTTGTCGTTTCTGTTCTGGGTTGTTGTTTAGTGTTTTGTTTAACAAAACAAATGGAGAAACTATTTAAATAACTATTTTATAGGAGTGGGTGTGTGGGTTCGGGTGCAGGGGTGTGTTGGAGGGGGGTAGGTGGTGGTGTATGTGTATGTGTGTGTTTCAACAGATTTTGGTTTCAGTTGGTTCAAACAATAACAGTTAGTTAACAATTAAAAAAGGCACAAGTTGCAATTGCGCAAAAGGCCAAAAACGCTGGCATTTCACACAGTTTCACATAATTGGCACATGCTCCTCGTGTGTTTGTTTGTCTGTTGTTATGTCTTGTTTGTTTGTTTGTTGTTGTTGTTTGTTTGTTTGCTGCCCTTTGCGTTTGAGGTATTTGTCATCTTTGGAAAGTCTGTTGAAGGCGACCTCGCGACAACATCGCTGCTGTGGTGAGCCTAGTTGTTGTTTGTTGGTCCGGTCTGGTGGTCTAGTGGTCGCATATATATTTAGAATAGATCAATCCGGAGAGATGAACCACTCGGCATATATATGCCTCAACTTGAACGTCACGTCTACTTTTCTCCTCTTATCTCTCACTCTTTAAACAACACAATCTTTTATACACACGCTTCGTCAGTTTTATGTTTAAATGCTACTCGAACTAATAATTGGTAATTAAATGTTTTCGTTTAAATGAATTTTTGTTTAAAAAGTACGCTTTAAAATTTAAAACATCAAGTATGTAGCTTTAAAATTATACGTAGTTATAATATATATAGATATATAGATATAAATGTGTATATAAAAATTATTAAATTTGCTTGCTTGTTTTTTATATAAGAAAATTGTCTGTCAACATACACATTTTTGTTCAATATAAAATGAATGTTTAAAATTTATATATGTTAGCACTTTCTTATTGTTTTTTTTTTTCATTTTTTTTTCATTTTTCTACAATAATTAAAAGTTTTCTTGTTTTTAGCGACGTTGCTTTTGTAGTTGTTGTTGTTGATGTTGTTGTTCTTAGATATCTGCATGGAATATACACATTTGGATATAAGCATACATTATACGCAAAATGTACACATACATACATCTGGATATAAACCATTTAGTCATATCGAAATGCAGCAAACAACGTTTTATATCTTTTTGTTTTTGTTTTTCTCTCAGTTTTGTTAGAATGGGAAACACAACAACGTGGAAATTTTGGATCAAATCAGATCAGGTCTATGGCAAAAGTTTAATAATATGGTATTCAGCAGGTGTTGTTGTTGCTTTGTTTGCTTGATTTAAGGTTGTTGTTTTTGTTTTCTTTTGCTGGCCAGCTGTTTTTGTTTGTTTTTTTTTCGGCTAGACTACTTAGAACTGCTGATAGTTGTTGCTATTGTTCTTGTTTGGATGGTAATTACTCGACGTGTTGTTATTGTAATAATTGTTTTGAGCATTATTATGTGGTTTGTTGTATTTACCATAACCGTAGTCATATCCATTATAGTAGCCGCCGGTATAGTAGTCGCCATAGCCACCAGCGCCATATCCGCCGTAGCCGCCATAGCCCGAGTAGGAGCCCTGGCCATCCCACTGGTTGTTGTAGCCTGTTGTAAGGACATTACAAGATTAAGATGTGGTTTTCTGGTTTAAAGCTATTTTCAATACTAACCCCCACGTCCTCCGTAACCACCGCGTCCACCACGCATACCACCGCGTGGTCCACCACGCATACCACCCATCATCTGGTTCTCCGGCTTGGGCGTTGCTCGCTTAACATCGACCTCCTTGCCGGCAATCTTCTGCTTGGGCGTTTTCAGCAAGTCCGTGACAACCTGCTCCGAATCGAAGGTGATGAAACAGAAGCCCTTGCGCTGCGACTTTTGCTTGTCGAATGGCATTTCAACCTCGACGATCTTTAAAATATAATTCAATCTTTAAATATTAAAAAAAAAATCTTTTTTAAGGATACTAACGTTTCCAAACTGTCCAAAGTAGGTCTTAATTTCATCATCGGAGATTTCTGTGGTCAGGCCACCCACAAAGATCTTGCCGTGTCGTGCCTTGGCCTTCTTGGGATCGACCTTCTTGCTGTTGATAATGTGCTCATCGGCGGCGCTGACCTTATCAATAGCCTCTGTGCTTGTGAACACAATGAAGGCGAATCCTCGTGAGCGTCCGGTCTGGGGGTCTGTCTTGACATTGATGCTCTCAATCTCTCCGTACTTGCCAAAATGATCGCGGAGTTCCTCTGCAAAACCAAGCAAAACGATGTGAGTATATTTGAAAGATAAATTTAGAAATATTGTAAATGATAAAAAATGAAGAATTCTACTTACTCTCAGTCGTTTCCCAGCTCAGACCGCCAACAAACAGTTTTCTGCGAAAGGTCAGAGATAAATTGGTTAGTTTTAAAGCGTAAACAGATAATTTCAAAGACTACGGAGGGGAACAGGGAAAATTGGAGATCGGGTACAAAAATAGGTTGTGTTTAATGCGCGTAGCAAATAGAATACTTTCTGGATTTACTTTAAATTTCTCTTCTCTTACTGTTTTTCGTATTGGCTGCAAAAGAATTGATGACAGAGCAAAAATACAAAACGAATAAAAAAAACTCACCAAATTTGAAGTGAAAAATTGCTTTAGTTACTGTATTGCAATCAAAGATTTGTTCGGATAGTGTCAAAAAACTTGCAAACTCGGAAATGAGCGAAAGAGTTCGAGGAGCGAGCGAGCGATCGATCGAGAGACACAAAACGAGCGAAGGATATAGATATATAGTAATATAAACATATGCAAAGAGTGAATTATTTAGTTTCATTTTTTGGGTATACTTATAATTTTTAATTTTTGTTTGTACAATTAACAATTAGTCTTTATTCGATAGGATGAGAAAAATGCAACGTTTTTTATGCTGTATTGTGGTTGGTTTACTTGCTTTATTTGTCTTTTTTTTCATTTATTTATTTTTATTTTTTTTTATTTATATAAAAAAGAGTTTAAAAAAAATGCATAGTCACTTAATTTACTTTGATGTACGTTACTCTCATTGATTTTGGGTTTTGAAAGCGATATCTCTGTGTTCTCTGCGGATTCCCGGGCAATTTTGGAACAGTGTCGTCACACGGCGGCGGAATTTCGATTGCAATTTTGGAATGTGCACTCATTACGTTACATTCGTTCTTTGTGTTTCTTTCATCGGATGATATATTCTGAGATTTGAACAAAACAAAGGAAAAAACTGCGAGTCTCCTTCACTCGGTCTCTCTCTGTCTCCGATTACTTGATACGTTTCATATATATAATAATATATAATTATTTTTGGTTGGTAATTTACAAGTTATACGTTAAGATAATACAATACAATATATACTCGTATACAGTTTACATGGATCCAATTTTAAAATCGAGATAATTTGTTGGTAATTTTGTGTGTCGATAGTTCTATATATTGGCTGACTGACTGATTGATTGTTTTAGTTTTGGTTAGATAAATACCATCAGCATCAGTATCTCGGTGGAGCGCAGAGTTTTGGAGACTGGAGTGGCTGAGTGATCCTCCATGTCCAAATCCCGGATCCGTTTTGCCGGCGACAGGAATCCGAAACCGATTCCGATTCCGAATCCGTATTCCAATCCCATTCCGACTTGAGAATAGCTATACTCAAGACCTGCCGGAGAGGAACAAGGTTAGTTCGCTCACAACACAACAGGATAAGCTATGAGTTTGGATTTAAATTGATTCTCTCGTTTCCATCCATCTTCATTTGGGGGCTCCGCGGTGGGTTCCGTATTTTCGTTTTAATGTACAGCTTCGTGTGACTTAAGATTAAACTTAGATATTAAATGATCAGTAGGATGGGCAAATGATGTGTATGCTATACGCCTAAAAACAAAACGAGGAGATAAACAAAAAGCAAGTCATAAGAACCGCTCTTCCCAATCAAAGACTGTTTTTTTCTACCTCTCAATTTTGAAACATCGTAAATCTCGACAAAGTACTCCATACTCCATATCGAAACATCTGCTAGGTATTACTTAAATAAAGTTTCACTTGTTATTTACGTTTCTTTACAAAAATTATAAGTAAAGTTGAATGTTTTATCACGAAATAAATGTTTATAAACGATACTATTATTAAAAACACTAACAGTATACGAATATTACGACCGCTCATATTTCTCCCAGCTCTAATAGTTCTCCATTTGGCGCCTCGGCAACTCTAATACAATGCCGGCCGTCACTTTGCGGGGGAAAGAGATGGCTAGAGGGAGAGAAGCCGGCAAGCAAAGAGAATAAGTGAAAACTGCAAAATACACACATACACAAACACTCGTATGCGTCCGCCATTTTGGGTACAGAACTGGAAGGCCAGAAAATAACAACGAATAGCCGAACCAAAGAGTAATGCGAAAAAAGAATACTCCGGCAAATACAAACATAACTTTTTCTTCATCGTTTTTATTTTCGCAAGTGAAAGGCAATGGCTTTGTGTGTGTGGGGCAACGTGGGGAGCAAACATAACCTCACAAATGGGGCAAAATGTGCTCCCAAACTAAAATGCAAATGGAAAGTCTATGGTTTTCCGCGGGGAACGGGTAACTGTGAAAATTTTCCATTGCACACAGGGAAACTGGTGAATTTTTCCGAAGATTCTATTAATATTCCGCCTGCAGCGGCTGAAGTACAGTCGCACCGACACACACACCAGCTAGCCAGCGGGAGAGAGAGAGCACACAAAGGGGGTCAGACTCTCCTACTTCCCCCGCTGGCACCCGTAAAACCCATTAAACACCAGCGACCAACGACGTTAGCTTCGCATTTACGTAACAGAGAAGGCAATATATAGAAGAAAAAATAACGCAGGGGCACATGATCACAGACTGGCCGCCGCAAAAAGCAATTTTTTTGTGATAGCGCGACACCACTTACCTGTCGTCATCACGCTGGCCAGATTGGTGGTCGGAACTGCCGTTTGTGGAGCCGGCGGCGGCCCCGTCTCCGTTTTCCGAGCTCGGGCCGTCGGCGGTCACGTCCTTGGTGAAATCCTCGCCGTTCATCTCGCTGTCCTGCTGCTTGTCGGCCATTATGATGTGTGAACTTTCTTTGTGGAAGTTTGGGGCTAGCAGATTGCTTTTTGGTTCACTTTTTCAGAGGCGGAGCCTACTTTTTACACACTCGCCAAAAAGTCGCGCGTACGAATGACGACCGGAAAATGACAAATGCTACGACAGCGTGTGTATATGGGCGTGGCGTTGCCACCTCGTCGAAAAGCTGATAGATGCGGGGTTGGTATTTTCGGAAAAACCTCCAGTTCGCGGTGAAACCGTCTCCAGGAGCGATATATCACAGTTACAAAGAATTACACTTTTAAAGAATATTCCGTAAGTAGTAAATTACAAGGCGAGCGACTACCCACTTTGAAATCAAACAAAATGTATACACACCCAATGTAAATAATACCAAATTGCAGTCCAGCCTCATGGTGCAACTATATAAGGTGCGCTTATCCGAAAAATATTGAAGTCTGCGGAGAGCGCGAAATCATACTGAAGTATATCGACAAACGAACTTTATAAATAGAAATGCAGTGAAATGTCCCTTGTTTATAAACATTTAGCATGTTAAATTACAGACTTTTTGTAACGTCTTATATTAAAAAAAATATATATATATTTTATTTAAAAAAATTAAAATACACAACAACTTATTGAATCCCCTTTCAATGTTGATGAATTTATTTATGTATGATGCACTAACTCCATCACAATGTGATATTATTAAAATAAAAGTAAAAGTACAAAAAGTTGTTAATACCAAAGAGTAGAAAATACTACATTAAAGAAACACCCCTTGACAGTGTGTACACACCCATACCGCAATGCCGCCATCATTAACACACACCGACGCACACTACTACATGTGAAACAAAACCGAGAATAAAACGCTGCAGAGGCAAAAAGCAAGAAGAGGAACGAACAGAGGCAAAAAAGGAACGAACGTCGGTTCTCTTCTCAATTCAACACTTGTCCAATTTCATTGCGTTTGCGATTATTTTCTACTCAAAAACCACAACCAATGCATCGTAACTTAATTAACCAACAACTGTGATCGCCAAACATCGGAAAATAACAAAACGCACGAGAATTGCCAAGTTAGTTAAAAAAAATTGCAACAAAGTAGTGTAGAAGGAGGAAGAAGAAGGCTCGTTCTGTATGTGTGTGTGTGATTTGTGTGCAGATTGCAAGTTTTCTTAATTTACGACTGTTGCCAATTCTTAAACTAAAAATCCCTTCGTAATTTCAGCGCTTGAATTAAAATTCGCCACCCCGCCCCCTCCAAAGTTCAGCGTCGGAAGTTTAAAGTGTGCCCCAAAAAGTGCAAGTTTTCGGCAAATTTCAACCCATAAGCAATACACATTGTGCATTACAACAACAAGCATCCATAGGAAAATCGGAGGAAAATCGCCAAAGGTGAGCCGGTAACCTCGTGTGTATGTGCGCGCGGTCTAGAAAAACTAGCATTTTCCATATTCTTCCATTGGGGTGGAACAAAACAAAAAAAAAAAAGAAAAATGGAAAAAATGACCAAATGCATACTGGGCGTGTTTTATTCTCGTTAGCCTGCTCCCTAATTTTTTCATTTTAGCGGCTTTTTTATCGCCTGTGCATAACCTAAAAATGTGAAAGAAAATTGTTTTTGTAAATTTGTTTAAATACTGCTCTTCATTTATCGCCTTCTTTGTTCTTCCTACACACGCGGTTCGCTAGTAGAAAGAGAACGGGAGAGCGAGAGTGGCGCGTTCATAACCGCGTTTGTGTGTGTGTGTACTTAGCGGCCGCAACTCTTTGTGCATTATTAGGTTTATCGGCAAATATTATTTGTTGAACACGGGGCGGGGTATGTTTGACTACAATAAATTATGAATCCAAAAATGTAAACAGTTTTCGGAATCACAACCTAATTTGTTTAAAAGCCTACTTACATATAGATATGCCTATTTGCCAATTTGTTGGCGAAGCTTGAGTTCAATGAAATCCCACACACATGCGTTTGTGTCCAAAACGGCGGCGGCTCAACCTTGAAGACCGAACATAACCTCAAAGTAATTCATGCTCCCCGACTCGCGGCTTCTTTTTTTACATCTGTATGTATGAGGTCATTTACTCTCAAAGCTCACACATACAGGGTATCCTTTGTGCCAGGATCGCCAGTATAGACCAGAGAAACACGTGCAAGGTAAAAAAAAGTCCTGCTAAAAGGGAGAAGGCAACAACAACGAAGAACTGCAATAAAAACAACAACAGCAAATGGGACTTTTGGTGACAGCTGCACTTTGTTCTTGTTTGCGTATGCACGAATTTTTCCCTTTTCCGTGTGTGTGTGTGTGGTGATAAAAGTGGGTCAAACTGCAGCGCGCTGCGTCTTTTTTTATATGCACTGCAGTAAAATGAGCTCCTTTCCGGGTGACCCTCCTTCTCATCCGAGGTGACAGTGTGAAACTCTAGATCCCTCATGGAGGAGAGCAGACTTTGTGTGGTCAGAGAAAAAAATGTATTGAAACCTATTATTAATAATAATTATCATTATAATAAAATAAGATGCATTAAGATATGTACATTTACATTGTGTGAAGCGTATTTGTAATGTATTTTACTGAATTAATTAAAATTAAAATACGAATTTAACGTAGTAATTGTAAAAAACAAACTGTAAATTCTGGTGTCTTAAACGCAACTGTGTTTGCGCATTATAGAAATTAAACTGGGAAATCAGACACCACTGACACGCCTTGCCTAAAGCAGCTGTGGGCGGTGCAGATAACAACCGAGTATATATTGGCTTTGCTTTCATTGGATCAAGTTGACACCTGATTCCCGTTCTCCGATTTTATTTTTTATAAAAAATTTTATATCCCATAAACCCAACGGATCCTGGTGAATTATTAACGCATATTATACATGTGCATGTATATTTTTGTATTCTTGCAGACTTTCGAATTCGACCCTCCAGTCCAAACACTTGTCACCGATCCGTCGTCGTGTCGGGGTATTCCAAAAGGAGCAGGCAGGAACTGTATCGGAAACTAAGAACTGCTGAGAACCGGCGTTGTGACGTTGAGGAACCCATAATCCAGAGAAGAAGCAATCGCCAGCAATGGTCATGGATGCGACCCAATCGCAGCAGCCTTCGCCGCAGTCGGTGGGACGTGAGTTTGTCCGCCAGTACTACACGCTGCTGAACAAGGCGCCCAACCATTTGCATCGCTTCTACAACAACAATTCGTCGTACATCCACGGAGAGTCGAAGCTGGTGGTGGGTCAGCGGGAGATCCATAACCGTATCCAGCAGTTGAACTTCAATGATTGTCATGCGAAGATCAGCCAGGTGGATGCCCAGGCCACGCTTGGCAACGGTGTGGTTGTGCAGGTAACCGGGGAGCTGTCCAACGATGGGCAGCCCATGAGGCGATTCACCCAGACGTTCGTCCTGGCCGCCCAATCGCCGAAGAAGTACTACGTCCACAACGACATCTTCCGCTACCAGGATGTGTACATCGAGGACGAGCAGGATGGTGAGTCGCGTTCGGAGAACGATGAGGAGCACGACGTACAGTTGGTGGGCGGTAATGCCGGAAACGTGGAACAGCCAGTCCAAGTGGTAGGTGATGTAGTCACCCAGCAGCCGCAGCAGCAGCAGGTGCCCCCGCAACCACAGGCCCAGGTGGTGGTGGCCCAGCAGCAGCAGCAGGTGGCTCCTGGAACTGCTGGCGGTGCTGCCCCGCAGCAGATCTTCTACCCCTTGCCAGCGGGAGCTGCTGCCGGACGTCCAGTGGCAGTTTTGCCTCCGGCTCCGCAGGCCGCAGCGGTTCCTATGCCGGCGCAGTTCAATGTTCCACCACCACAGCCCATCCAGAATGGAGCGGTGTCGCATGAGGAGCTGCAGCAGCAGCAGGTGCTGGTCCCGCCCAGCGTATCGCCTCTGGTGCAGCAGAGCGGCACTCCGGTGTTGCCCATTGTCCCAGTACCAAGTGCGGGCTTCCAGCAATCGCCCCTGGTGGCACCACAACTCATCCAGCAGCAACCTCCACAGCTGCCCCCGCAGCAACAGCAGCAGCAACAACAACCCATCCAGCAGCAGCCGCCAGTGCAGCAGCAGCAGCCACAGGCTGAGCCCGAGGAAGCCGAGGTACCCCAGCGTCAGATGCAGAAGCCACCGACTCCCGTTGATGACTTCAAGACAATCCATGAGCAACAGCAGCAGGAGAAGTACGAGGCCGCCAAGCAACAGCAGAACGAGCCAAAGACCTATGCGAACCTGTTCAAGTCCACTTCCTCCTCGCCCAGCGGATTCGTCAATGCCGCTCTGCAGCAGCAGCAGCAACTCCAACAACAGCAGCAGCAGACGATCAGCAACAACACCTATAATTCGTCTTCAGGTTCCGCGGGCGGAGGCAATGGCTCTCAGGTGAGCTACTCGACCACTGCCTCGTCCTATAACAATAGCAACGGCAACTCCCGGCTGGACAACGGCGGTCCGCTGCCGCAGCGCAACAATTCGATCCGGAACAACAAGGGTGGTAAGTTTCCGTGAAACTTGAATATCATTAAAATAAATTAATAAATGATTTTCTATTTACAGAATTTGAGCAGCGTCGCCCGAGCAATGCCCAGCAGTTTGGCGACAACCAGCAGCTCTTCTTGGGAAATATACCACACCATGCCAGCGAGGAGGACTTGCGTGATCTGTTCTCGCGTTTCGGCAACGTCTTGGAGCTGCGAATTCTCTCGAAGGCTGGTAACAAGCTGCCACCGGGTATGCGCAGTCCATTGAACTATGGCTTCATTACCTACGACGATCCTGAGGCAGTGCAAAAGTGCCTGTCCAATTGCGTGAGTATTTATTTATAAATCTCCAATATAACCAATTAACGAGGCCTATTCTATAAATAGCCCCTGTACTTCCCGGAGAACTCGCCCGATGGCCAGAAGCTGAATGTTGAGGAGAAGAAGCCGCGTATCCGCAACGATATGGCTCCTCGTCCGCCAATGGGTGGCGAGAACAAGTACAACAATATGAATCGTTTGGGCAATAACAATGGACCCCAGTCGCGTCCGATGAACAACAACAATGGCAGCAGCGGCGGCGGTATTATGCGCAACAACACTGGAGGTAACAATCTGCGTCAGGGCGGTGGCGGCGGCGGAAACGGAGCTCCGCGCTTGGGAGGCGGTGGATTTGGTCAGCGCCAGGATAACCGCACAGGCGGCGGCAACAATCAGTCCAACGGACCGCTGCGCGGTGCCGGCAACGGACAGCAGGCCGGCGGTGGTAACTACGGACGTCGCTAAGAAGGAAATCCACTGCATAGCACCACATCAGCGATAACATTGGCAGATGCAGAAGCAAACAAAGAAGAAGAAAAAAGAAGAAACTAAAAACTAAAACTAAATCAGCAACCCAACGTTAAGAACATCGACTTCTTCCACAATGCAATCAATCAATTACATTCAGAAACATCTCATGCGATTAAGCACAAGACACACACACATACATACATACACACATTAACATAAAGTAGTTGGAGCAACTAAATGTCAACTGTCCTTTAAATGTTCCTGAGCGTGTAATCACAACAGCAAAAACTCGAGGCATCGAGCTTTAAGAAAAACAAAAACAAAAACTAAAGGGACTAACGTAAATGTTTTGGGTCTTTATTTAGTCTAATTGCGTTAGGCCCACTCTTTTTTCAGCCAGTTCGTGCCAAAAGATATCGGAATTCTGTGCAAATCTCTGTTGTGAAACAAGAAGCTTCAGCTTGCTTCCTCCAACTGCTATCCTCTAACCACACACACCACCCACTACTCGCCCTGAAACACCACGTATTAAGTTTAAGTCTCAATCGAACATTTACATTTCACACGCATCCATCGGAAAACAGACACTCACATGCACACCACACAACACATCCATCTTAGCGTAAATGTAAACTTTAATTTCAGCTCTCGTTTGGTAATTTCACCATCAACCAAAATGTAACTTAAGTTCACCAAAAGAAAGAGAATGGTTAAAAAAAAATGGAATTGCAACAGTTTTTCGTTGGTTTTTTTTTCTTTGAATAAACACAAATACTTAAGCAAAAACAAAAAGAAATGATAAAAACAAAAACTTGAACTTAGCTAAAAGATATAAACAAAATGTAAACAAACGAAAGTAAGAACAGAAAAAAAAACAAAAAAATGAAAAACATTTGTAAAATGCAATAAAAAAGAGCAAAAGAAAGACTTAAAAAAAAAATAAATAAATCTAAAAAGTAACAAAAAAAAAAAAAAAAAAAAAATGGTAACACGAGAAAAATGTAAGGCGCGGTATAACAAACAATATACTGATCAAGCATAAACACACACACAAACACGAACCTCTAAATAAAACATTGAAAATGAAATCAATTTAGCTAAAGAGCCGCCACGCCAGAAAAAAGGGAAAAGTGAGGAACGTCGACGTCCGCCGCATTTTAGAGCCTGTGAACTGTAAACCTTTTGCTACTTAAATCATTATTTGCAGACACTTTAACACATTTAACTAGCTAGTCTATATAGGGAATCGGATCGAATGGAGACACACACACACACAGTATGCAATGGAATGGAATGGAAGGAATTAAGAGAGCGAGAGCTTGTGACGGCGAATGCGGTGCCGGCGCCGCAGCGGGGGCGTGGTCGATGCAATCGTTGAGGGACGGGGACGGACGACGGTGTTTAGTTTTTTGCTTTTTTCCGTTCTGTGTAAGAAGTTCAAGGTCGTAAACCAAACTAAGTCAAGCAACTTAAACGATTTGGTGTTTCCAACGCAGTTGTGAACTAAAATTTAGTACATATTTTTTAAATAAAATCAACAAAAAGCCCAAAAAAAAGAAAGATGAGAGAGAACCTTATATAAACACAAAAACAAGCAACTTATTATAATAGACGGGAGGCGACGAAAAACAAGCTACTAACATTTTTCTCAAGGTAAAACAAGCAAAACGTGTAACAAGAAATATATACAAATATATATATACATCCATATATATATATAAATAAAACAAAACAAAAAACTCATATAATTTAATGTTAACTTTTAGACTTACCAGAAATCTAATATACATATATATATTTATATAACTGCAGCAGTAACAAGCAAAAGAATATGAAAGCAAGAGGCGAAGAGGAAAACTAAAAACATTAAACAAAATCGTGTGAAATATAATATTTTGAATTGAACTGCAGGCGTCCCACACATTTGCCTAAGTTTATCCCTGTTTTGTTAAAGCTTAAGGACTTTTGATTCGTTGTGAACATATCATTTGTTTTTGTTGGATCCGGCGCCTGCTCTAGAGAATCAATTGCTAAATCAATTACTTTATGCATATATTTTAGTACACACACACGCCAGAGACATACATATTTAGCACTGTGACGGGGGACTAAAGCAATTTTAGTACATTTTTTGTAAGACGAAAATGTTAGTGTTCAAATCTTAGCTCAACGATCAGTGCTAAAAGTGTTTCTCGACACACACACACACACACGCCAATCAACCAATCCAATCACAAAACAGCATCAAAAACGATACAATACAAGTCAGAGGTACTAACTAAATCAATGTAAGAGTAAAACCATAAAACAAGTAAAAATCATGCTCATTTTAATGTAAACCGAAGAAAAAATCACAATACTGCAGTTTGTAAAGAGTACAGAGGAACTTAATTATAATTTAATTTATATGTATACAACTACAAAATAATTATAATAATAATAAAACAACCACAAAGATTCAGCGTGTTTACCAGGAAAAACTTATGATCTGTCTTATTTCTTTTTTCCTGCCTCTTAAAACTAAATCGTATCTGACCAAAGACAATATAAGGAATAAGATGGGTAGCGCCATACGAAATGACCATTTTATAGAATCAGGTCACGTTACGCATCTTACTCTTTATATCGTTCTTGGTAATCTGACTCTGCTCATTGCCTTCAATTTCTGGTAAATGCGATTACTTCTCAAACAACACCAATATATCGTAGATAAAGTATATCTGAAAGAGAAAAAGCCACGTTTATTTTTCATTATCAGAGATTCCTGCGACTGAATCCGTATCCCATTTCCATTTGCGTTAAATAAACTACTGAGCATTCAGCATTTAAATGAAATTAATGCGCACAAAGCCAAGCAATTTGCAGCATAACTTTAATAAAATCACACGTCAGTCGTATGAGTTCTCACTCTCCTCCCCCAGACTCTCGGAAATAATTCAGTGGTGCGTTTTATAGCGTTTCAGATATAAAACAATTATGCATACTCAATTCACTCATGCAATACTTAAAAAAAAAAAAAAACAAAAACAACAGAAATAGTATAAATAAAGAACAAGAGTTTACGATTTTAAGTCTCAAAAGATAAAGTGTGTGTAATCATTTCTGGTTTATTCGTTCTTCTTTTTGAAAGTCTCGGAGAAATTACAGTGTGGTAGGAATCTATGGCTACATGGGATCCTCAGTCCATCATCTTAGATGCCTGTCAATGGAGGAAGTTATAAGAAGTTAGGTATTATGAAATTACACACAACCCACCGTAGGTTGGTGGGGTACCTCCATTCTGGCCTAAGCTCTGGGCAGGCTTGAAGATCTTGTAGTTCTCGGTGGGCCACTTCTTGTCAGTGACCTCAGCTCCAATCGATACATCTGCTACTGCTTTTCCTCCAGCCAATCCCTCATTTCCATCGCCCCCGGCACCGAGTTCAATCTTGCCATCCAGAGATAATCCACTTATGATATGATCACTGGTCGAAGTCTGGGCATGTTTGTACCCAGCCTTTGGCTGCCATTCGCCCACAGTGCCGGGTGCCCACCCTTGGGGAGGAAATTTACCCGACTTCGGATAAGCTGACCAGGATTCCGGCCCGAATGCGGAAGGAATCGGCTGGGACGGGGGGCGCATTGCAGGTGGATAGCGCTGAGGAGAGGCGGCGTACATGTCGAACTGAGACATTTCGGGTGTCACATAGGCGGCCCATCCGTTGATATACGCCGATGGGGGTAGGACAGACTGCGCCAGGTACGGATTGTAGTTATTGTTGTAGCCAAAGCAATCGAGAGTGGCCGGCTGCGGTGGAATATAGCCAGCACGGGCAGCTCCACCCACAGCGAAGCGGACACGATTGACGGTATCGGGCTTCTGGGTGGACTTTTTCACCTCCACAGTGTGCAGATTGATAGAATGCTTTGACTGGGCTGTAAATCAAGGAATGAGTTAAGAGGATAGCATTGTAAGGTGAACCTACCCAAAGCGCGCTCGGCGCATACCGGATTCTCAAACTCTAGAAATCCGAATCCTCGCATGCGTCCGGTCTCTCTGTCCAATAGCAATTTCACATGGGCGATTTTTCCAAACTGCGAGAAGTATTCGCAAATGGATTTCTCATCGTGACAGTCCTTCAGGCCGCCAAGGAAGATCTTGCTCGTCTTGGTGCCTAACATTCCCATGCCACAACTGGCGGCACTCATGGCTCGGCCGCCGCCTGATCCCCCCTTGACGAAATCATGACGGGGCAGAGCACGTTTGGTCTCTACATTTCTGGGTAAGATTTAGTTTAAGATAAAAGAAATTATAATTAAGATATGTATTATTTCATAATTATTTTAGATACACTAAATGTTTCTGGAACTTACTTATTATCAATGCAATGGGGCCTAGCTCCCTGTACATTCTCCACAGACTGTGGCTCCGCAAAGGTCACAAACCCGAAGCCCCGCGAGTGATTGGTTACAGGATCTCGCATTACCACCGCATCGGCAACGGCTCCAAATTGCTCGAAGAACTTGCGGACCGTGCCTGCAGTCGTCTGGGTGGACAGGCCCCCAACGAAAATCTTGCGCAAGTGCTCCGGTCCGCTTTCTTCCTTGTTAGGCTCATTGGTCGACGGATTATTGGCAGTAGCCAAAAGATTGGTTAATTCATTTTCCACGGCAGAGAGACCCCCATTGAGCTGTTATAAAAAAAACACTTAACTTTTAAGGACCCCAATAATTTTTGAAAAGATCCCACCTCTCGCTGAACACAGGTCTCCGGCGAAACACAGTTGACCTCCATTTTGGTTATTAGCAGAAGAAAATTCGCACAGTCGAAGCTACAACTTGAAAATTGATCTCGGCGTAGTTTAAGTGACACTAGGCTAAGTGAAAAAATGTAAATGTCAAAAGGTCGGATATGGACTATCGGTAAAGGACTTGACAATTAAGCAGAGCCTTGTTGTCATTTAAAACACAACCCTATTACCTTGAGTGGTAACACTTTCGAAACGAATTTCCATTAAACAAATGTAAGTTTGAAGCGGTTTTTAATTAGTTAGTTAAGGCTACCAAATTGGGAGTTTAATACCGACGATTTTTAAATTGAATTTTAGCTCTCGCAGATCTGTTTATTATGTTTTTGGCTAGCGTCCAACCAAACGTCAAACTTTACTATCGAAAAAAAGGAGGTTTCAACAACAAATAATGTCCGCTTTTCATCACAAGTCTTCTTCCCAACATTGGTTGCCCAATGTTTGTTTTATTAATGTTTATAAAACTTAGAAATTGTCCATTTTTGTTGTAAACTCTGTAGACATCTTATCTAAAAGTCGCCTGGGTACCTTCTTTTCTTCCTTCCGGGTGCTGATCATAGGATTTTCCAAGGTGGGTATATTATTTCTATAGGTAGGTTGTTCAGAGCAGACAATGCATTTTATTTTTCATGTTTTAACATCAACATTAATTTCCTTACTGGTTGAAAACATGCTAACCAAACCCCCTTAAAGCCATAACGACCCAAAAAAAAAAAAAAAAAACAGTTGTTTATTTAAATTAATCAATATATTTTTATTGAAAGAAATTCAGAAATATAGAAGCAGTTAGTGAATTACATACCATTTACCTGCAACTTACCTCCGAGTAGCAATCAAGTCTTCAAAGCGTCTTCAAACCAAGTAGTCCAATGTTAGTCCAAGCCTCCGACGCACTGCCGGCTACAACTTAGAACATATTTTTGGGGAGAGCTCTGTCTTTAGAAAACGAACCGGAGCGAAGAGCAGAGAATTCGAATCCGGTCCGGGAGCATCCGTCCGTAGCCCAGCCAGGCCAGGCCAGTCTTGCAAAGAAATAGGCAGTGCATTAGTACGCGGTTTGCCTGGGAATAAATTGGGGGTCTCTAATGTTGGTAACTAGCCCTGGTCGATCATCGGAACCCTCTGGGTTCCCGTTCTCTAGGTACGCCCCGCTGCTGCTTCTGCTCCTGTTCCAGCTCCTACTCCATTTTTCTTGGGGAGTGAGTCTTAAGTTTATTTTGTTCCTGCGATTGTTTTTTTTTTTGGGTGGGTTGGTAACATTGGTTATTATTTTATTTTGTTTATATCTCATCGCTTTCGTTTGTCGCGCAACGAACTAATTACAGAACATGTGTGATTTGTTTTGTAGTCGATTCTGGTTTAGCGTAGCATCTACTTCTTAGGGACTAACAGAGTTGGTATGTTTCGTATATATGTTTTCGCTTGCTAGGACACAATATGGACACACAGTTCTGTGTGTTGTTCGCATCTCGGGGAATTTGGGTCTTGTATACGATAAATAAATCATAATATAAAAAGTGCTTAAGTGTACAAAAGGTTATTACAAAATATGGTTCTATTTGATTTCTTTGCCGGTTATAGCTTTGTGTAAAAATGAAAAACAAATAGAAAATACATCTAGCTGTGGGCCACCGCCCTCCCGGACACGAATAAAGTTCAAGTTACGCTACCTTATAACACCGATTCTCGCTGAGAATTTGTCGCTCAACTGGCTTCTAATGGTAGTCAAATTTTTTTATAAAATAAATTTAGTTTATATTTTTAGTTGGTTGGTTTTTTTGTTTCGTTTGTTTTGTTAATATAGTTAAAACTAAGCGTTCAGGGTTCTTAGCATCCTAAACAAGAATTGATCTGCGAATTAATGTTTACAAAAGAGAGACAGCAGCAGCCAACTGTGGACAATTGGAGTCGGTTCGCTTGTATGCTTGCTTGTTTGTTGCTTTCGGCAAGCAGATTTTTGGTTGGCCTGCAGGTTTAGTTCTTGAAAACTGTTTTTTTTTTTCTTTGTTTGCTTTTGTTTTTGCATTTGCACTCGGCCTGGTTCGGGAACTGCGCTTGGGGACTGGGTCTGATATTGTCTGCCTCGCCTGACAACCACACCTGTCGCTGATTTCCTGCCTGAGAGTGTGCCACTGCCACTGCCTGTGCCTCTGCCTGCCTAGACTGCCTGTTTGTCTAGCTTGAACTGACACTCCCTCTCTCTCTACGTGTGTTTACCTAGTTGCGAGAAAGGAGAAAATTTTACATTAGCTTTGATTCATTTCGATTCAGATTGATTGCATGGCTTCCAACTATATAGCTGCCGATAACGACCAAAGATCCGAGCGTTTACAAAACATATGGTGGGATAGGACTGCGGTTTGCTTCCTTAATATTTACCTTGTCTAGTAACGTCTATTGCCGCCGCCCATGCCACCCTGGCCGCCTCCAGTGTTGTAGTTATTGCCGCCAAAGCCTTGTCCTCCACCCTGGTTGCCTGCACCGATTAATTGTTTTAAATAGTTAATAAAATAATCTATTTTTAAGAGAATACAAACTCACCTTTGTTGAAGCCGCCACCACCACTGCCGCCCTGGCTGTACGGAGCTGGACGGTTGTTACCAAAGTTGTTGCGCTGTGGTCCGCCGCCGTAACTCTGTTGGTAGTCGTTGCCGAAGCCGCCGCCACCTCCTCCGTTTCCGCCCCAGTTGCCATTGCTGCCGCCGCCACCATAGCCGCCGCCGCTGCTACCATTGTTCCAGCCACTGTTACCGCCTCCCTGGCTGTTCCACGGACCGCCACCGCCGCTACTGCCCTGGTTCCAACCACCCGAGCCTCCACCTTGGCCGCCGCTTCCAAAGTTGCTGTTGTTGCCATAGCCGCCGCCCCCGCCGCCGGCTCCCCAGTTTCCGCCACCGTTCTGGCGGTTGTTGCCTCCCCAGCCACCACCGCCGCCGCCACCCTGACCGCGTTCGCCCCCACGACCACCACCTGGCCGACCTCCAGGAGCGCCACGACCGCCACCGACTCCTCCTCCACCACCGCCGCCCTGGCGGTCCATGTCTTGTTTGGCAATCGCCTTCTTCACGTCCAGGTTCTTGTTCTTGATGGTGTGGTTCTTCTGCAGGATGATCTTATCCACGGGATCGTAATCATCGAACTCGATGAAGGCGAAGCCACGCTTCTTGCCTGTGTCCTTGTCGGAGACGATGTTCACGCTAACGATCTGGCCAAAGTCCTTGAAGTATTCACGCAGGCACTCTTCATCGTGGTCGTCGCGCAGACCGCCGACAAAGAGTTTCTTCACGGTGGCACCGGCATTAGGGGCATCGATCTCCTGGCGTGGCACAGCCCGCTTCGGCTCCACGGTGCGTCCGTCGATCTTGTGTGGGCGAGCGTTCTGGGCGTTGTCGATCATGTATGACTGCGAGTAAGTGATAAAGCCGAAACCGCGCGAGCGCTTAGTCTTGGGGTCCTTCATCACCACCACGTCGACGATGTTGCCCCATTTCTCGAAGTGCGCCTTCAGGCCATCGTCCGTGGTGCGGTAGTCCAGACCGCCGATAAACAGCTTGCGCAGCTGCTCCGGCTCGGTGATCTATGGATTGAAATAAAAGAGAAAAGAAGGGTAAGTATATAATTAACTCAAGGACTCAATCTAATTTGCTTGGGCGAAGGAATAGGTAGAGATAGAATATAAATGTTTATATTAAAAAACGAACCAATGGTTCAAAAATCCTGGGAAATGACATCTCTATTTGTAGAAATTTAAAACTGTCTACTGAAAAAAGCTTTATATACTGTGATTCTAAAATTCAATGTAAGAAGTATTAACCTTACTTGGATCAAACAAAACAAACTTTTTGGTTTTTTGTTTTGCCAGAAAACATTTAAAACCAATTTACAGGTTAGAAAATAAATACATTAAATATATTATTGCAATCTAAAATATGCGAATTCGTTGCTAATGGAAAAGGAGATTAAATGATGAATGGATTTAAATAAATCATGATAGTCATCAATGGACTACTATTAAAAATGAATTTGATAAAGGAGAAAACACCGCATATGAAAACGCCGCCCGCCATTTTCTTTTTATTATTTGCACCGCCATGACACCTTGTGTGTATGCGTCTCTTTTTTTCTTTTTCCTTGTATTAACGGCTTGTAGCCGGTTTCATTCGCTCAAATCAATTGTATTTGTCTGGCGAAAAAAGGGCCTTCAACTTTTGCCGTGTCATTGGCCGCCGGAGGAGCCCGAATCGAGATCGAAGACCCCCGGCAATTGCACTTATTCCCGTCAGAGAAAACGCCGCATGCTAATTTCGGTGCGAAATTGTCGGCGTCGACATTTTCCGTCGCCCGCCCCTCCCCGCGAAAAGCCGACAAAAACAAAACTCACCTCGTCGCAGTCGTCATAGTTTCCATTGGAGTCGTTCAAATCCGCCATTATTGTATGTTTAATTTGCAATATTAGAGCAACTTTAGGTGCTATTTGTCAGTTTTTCGCTTTCACGGCCAAAAAGTGTACAGCACTTCCAAATGAAAAATCAAGACGCAGTGTGACCGAGTTCTGAATACTAGAGATGGGATAAAATCAGACACTATCGCGAGTTACTTTGAAAACATCGCAACAAATTTGAAACTATCGTTCCATTCTCTATATTCCCCCTAGAAGTTGGGTGAAAAACAAGCTGTATTGTTATTTGTTCACATTTTTTAAAACACAAAATTTTACTTTTTGGAATATTATTAATTTTTTTGTTACGTTTTTAGCAATTTCCACGAATTTTTAATGCACTGGAACAGGTAAAAATTATCGATGTTCAAAACATTGGCCAATATCGATATATCGGAATACATCTATGTATCGATGTTACATCGTGGCTTATCCCAGCTCTAGCTGTCACTTTTACTTCCGTTTTCGTCGTGTGTGCATTTTTTCGTGTCTAAGGAAAAAGCCGGAAAAAGAGTGTGTAGAGAGTCTACAAATTGTGAATTTACCAGTAATAATCTTTAGTAAACGGTACGTGCGTGTGTAATAAATTTAAGCATCAGGGACTACTGCAGGAGAAGCTGCAGAAACATATTGATTATTTTGCAAATGTTCTGTCCACCCGGTACTTTGTGTGCGCGTGTGTGTGTGTGTGCCTGTATATCGAGGTCGCCATCTTGGCGAAACACACATTCACGCGCGCGGGACAGTCGAGCAAAATAGAAGCTAAAAAATAAAATAAGTTTTTTCTGCCCTTGCAGCACTTGCTGGAGATACAAATAAAGCCGTAATCATGGTTGGATCTCGAGTATACGTTGGCGGTCTGCCGTACGGAGTGCGCGAGCGCGATTTGGAGCGTTTCTTCAAAGGCTACGGCCGCACTCGCGATATTCTCATTAAGAATGGCTACGGCTTCGTGGTGAGTAAAAGGGAGGGAAAACACAGTGGACGCTGGCTAGACGTACAACGAAAGAGCAGCGAATCTATTATTTAATTCATATTCATTTTAAAAGAAAACAATATGATACAAAGTTTGTATTTATCTAATAATTACAATTTTGTTTGATGATATTTAATAAATATTTACATCACCATCCTGTTCATCATATAGAGCGTACACTGTACCAAAACTACAAAAATCAATATTAAACACTAATTGAAATTGCAGGAGTTTGAAGACTATCGTGATGCCGACGATGCCGTGTACGAACTGAATGGAAAAGAGCTGTTAGGCGAGCGGTAAGTGGACACGTAAAGCAAGTGGGCTTTCATCATTCATGAATGGTCTTCTATTTTGTTCCACTTTTTCAGTGTGGTTGTTGAACCCGCCAGAGGAACCGCTCGTGGCAGCAACCGCGATCGCTACGACGATCGCTACGGTGGTCGTCGTGGCGGCGGCGGTCGTTACAATGACAAGTAAGTACAGACCGGCCCGCGATAGTGAGTCCAGCCCGTCCCCCAACTTCGTTTCAGTTGAAGTTTGCCCTAGTATAAAGCATATAAGCCCAATGATTTGCATTTAAAATAACCCATCCACACCGATGCGATTAGTTAAATTGCGTAATTACATTAAAACTTTAAGGCAATACTAGCAACAAAAGCAAATTTAAATGATTTATTTCTATGCTTACGCTTTAGTTTTCTTATAAAATAACTATAACTTGACCTTGGCATGCTAGCCAATTTTCCAAATTACTGTTGCCTATATTTTGAGCTTTTGAAACACATTTTATAGTTTATACCTTATTTCATTTGATTTTTAATCAAGGGATAAATGTATAATATAATAAATATTATGTTTCAAATATTAATATAAATAAACCTTAGAATGTAATGACCTTTTTAATGTAATTATACGCATTTAACCTATTGTAATCTGTGTGGAAGGGACCCAAAAAGACACTGACTTGCTGTTTTTATATATTTTTATTTCCTTAACGCTCCGTTCTCCTATGCATATTATGATTTCTCCTATGTTTGCACGTTAACCCTCATAGTTGGTACAATTTTGCACATTAATCGAGTGTAAATATGCATATGTTTCGAATATCCGCCATCCATATCCGTTGTTTATTTGTGATGGAGCTGAGGGAGCGAGCAGCAGCGCAGTGTCAATACTAATTAGTGCATCCATTCAATTATTCACCAGAAACAAAAATTCCAGATCATCCTCCCGCTACGGGCCGCCCCTGCGCACTGAGTACCGCCTGATTGTCGAGAATTTGTCCAGCCGCGTCAGCTGGCAGGTAAGTGATCACAGCATGGATCAATTCCAGGCCCCCTGGGTCCTGGTATCTAGTAGTAGCCTAGAATCGAGGAGTGTAGCTTTAGCAATAATAACAGCTAACCGATTGACATGGATCTCCCCTTTATACCCACTAACCCTCTCTTATCCATCCCAAAACGAATACTCCCTCTATTTTGGAACACCCTCCTTTATGATTTCGAATTATTTCCGGTGCGATCTCGCCCCGCCCCCGTTTTGTGTTTTACTAAACTCCCTTCTCCCCCACCGTCTGCGAATCCAGCAATCTTTAATCTGTAATTTAGCTCTAAGCTGTACAGTTGACTTAGGATTAAGTGAAGAGAAGAAATTAAGATAAATACTGCTAAAACCCTGGTACTGATCGGTGTAATATACCATTCCACAATTACTTTCTCTCGCACACACCAACCGAAACCGATTAAAAAGAGTTTGATGTGTTTTGACTGAGAGATTGCTATGCTTGGGCCTAAACTGAAACCGAATTGGGACCGCAAACCGATAGAGAATCGAATCGCCATGAGAAAGACAAACTAGTGACCGACCGGTTTAGAGTGTGTATCGCAAACCGTGATGTTGTGGAAGACAGAGACAGTCCCCAGAGCAGCCCCAGATCGTCGCTCCGCTTGGGTCCGATATCTGCGATCTCCGACCTGCGACCTACGACCTACCGCCTACCGCCTCCACGATGCGCCATCGCCGCCGCCTCATCCATCAGTCCATTCCAAATAGAGAACAAATATCGATTAGAATCGAATGAAAGAAATGTAAAGCAAACTGAAACCCAAACAAAACCAGACGATGACGATGGACGACGATGAGCTGATGAGCTGACCAAGTCAAAAGGTCTGCCCACGTCCCCTGACCAAAGGCGTGGGCCGGCCTCTTGCTTTAGGTATTTAATTCTCTGCTAAAAAAAAACATTCACAATCTAATCAAAAACAATATTATATAAAGAATTGTCAAATTCCTTATAGCAATTGTGAGTGTGAGGGCGCGAATCGAGTCGAGTGTGGTTAGATGAGAAGCTTGCGTTCGCTTATTCAGAGATGAGATGGTCTTGGCGACGATGATGAGATGAGATATGATCATGAGACGATGACCGATCAAAGACGATGATGAGGATCTGGTCGCGCGTTCAGTGTCCAACTTTGGCTAGTGCCTCCGACCTTAGTCCTTCCCCAATACTTCCCCGGTACTTGTGGCTTCCGGCTCTGGCTACTGGCTTACGGCTCTGGCTTCTGGCTTCCGGCTACCGCCTCCGGCTGAGACAACTTGACTAGACAACCAACCGGTTGGAGCAGCGAGCAGAGAGCAGCGTCCCCCGAAACGTATTTCTTATTTTTGCAGTTCGTTTGTGTGTGAGAGAGGCGCCGAAGCCGCTGGTTGTCCGACGCTGCCCGGCAAACTGCTCCAAACACTCCGCTCTCCGGCTCTCTGGTGTGGTGGCTCTGGCTAGCGATCGATGTCTGCTCTGATCTGATCTGACCTCCTCCTGACTGTATCCGGAGTGGCTATCTCCAAAACAAAAAGAAACCGCAACACTTGAATACTTTTTTGCCATTTCTAATATGAATCTGTTGTACACGAAAAAACGAAAACCAAAAACAAATCCAACCAAACGAATACCAAACCAAACGAGGTCGGGCCATCCATCCGCTCATCCGCCTGCCTGCTGGCTACTTACTGTTCACTGGCTGCCTGGTTGAGTTAACGATGTTCGATCGGACTTTCGATGAGGTGTCCTTGGTGCTATTGGCCCACAGTTACTAGGCAGACAATCTAAACTCTCGGTGTAGAAACGATGTGTGTGTCCTCCTCTCTCTGAAAGCGCATTAAGTAAGAATTCAATTACAACTATTTTGTTTACATTAATTTATTTTCAAAAATCAAAAAAACAACTATTTTAAACTATTGCGAAACCACTGTTATCTATATGATTGATCGCGCTTTAGTTTTGTGCAGCGTGCAGCGTGGAGTGTTTGAATGTTCCGGCCGCTCTCTGGGCTCTTCCCCACCTCCCCGATCGATTGATCCTTACGTCCGGCATGAGATTCTCGATTACCATACCACCCGTAGGCAGGCACGCGACCACAGCACAGGATAGAAGAACACAGGGCACTAATTACGGAGAGAGAGAGGGACTTGTGAGAGAGAGAAAGAGAGACTGAGACTGAGGCTTGGTTAGGAACCATGCCCGGAAGCGCACTAGCCCCTGGAACCTGGAATCATTCAAAATGCTCCATCAGCTGCACGCGCTGTCCTTTGAGTTGCATCCACACCACTACTGCCGCAAGATGCTGACGATGCTGTTGCGATGCGATCCCTGCCAAAGCTAAATTTTACTAATTCGGATCTTTCCCTTTCGACTTTGTGCGCCCTCTCCAGGATCTCAAGGATTACATGCGCCAAGCCGGTGAGGTGACCTATGCGGATGCCCACAAGCAGCGTCGCAATGAAGGGTAGGTTTTTAAATATTAATTAGAAATTTGAATCTTTATGCTTATCAAATGTTTTTCCTCTTGCAGCGTCGTGGAGTTTGCCTCGTTGTCGGACATGAAGACGGCCATTGAGAAACTGGATGATACGGAATTAAATGGCAGACGCATCCACCTGGTCGAGGATCGGCGTGGAGGACGCGGCGGCGGTGGTGGCGGCAGCGGACGTGGGCGCTCCCGTTCGTCTAGCTCGCGTTCACGTTCCCGCTCGCGCAGGCGCTCTCGCTCCCGCCGCTCGTCGCATTCGCGCTCCAAGTCTCGCAGCCGCTCCAAGTCCCGCAGCGGACGCTCCAAGTCAAAGTCGCCGGTCAAGTCACGCTCTCGCTCCCGATCGCGTTCTAAGTAAGTGGAACTTTGATCTTCCATAAGCACAAACAAACATCCCCGATTTGTAAATAATGTTTTATTCTTATCACTTATTTTATTTCTTGTCTTCTGTTGCAGCAAATCGCGTGATGTTTCCAAGTCCAAGTCCAAATCCCACTCCCGCACCCGTTCCCGCTCGCCCAAGCGTGAGCGAGAGTCCCGTTCCCGCTCCCGCTCGATCGTCAAGCGCGAGTCGCGCTCCCGTTCTCGCTCCAAGTCGAACCGTCGCGATTCCCGCTCACGGTAAGTGTTCTAGGCCCGCTGCCCCTGCTGGCTCTATATGTGTAGTTCACGATTCTTTCTTTCGTTTCGTGCTTTCTTTGGTTTTGTTTCGGATGCACCTCTACGTAGTCCTCCAGCATTGGTGGTTCAAAAGCACTCACTATAAATTATTAAAATGCTTCTCTCTTGCAGCGATCGGTCCGCATCAGCTGAAAACAAGTCCCGTTCGCGCTCCCGCTCCCGCTCGGCCTCGCCCAAAAACGGAAATGCCTCTCCGGAACGCAATAACGAGAGCATGGACGATTAGATTAGTTAGCTGTCCCATTAATTTTAACAAAACACTTGATTTTAGACTTCTACTACAACAACTACTCTACAAACATCAACACTCAGACACCTACTATATTCACCCTCTGCCACTAAAACCAAATCAAATGCAAATGAACATGAAAATGAAAATGAAAACATGCAAACCACCAACAGACCTCGGCATCTTTATTTCTACATACCCTAATAATGTTTTTCAATGATTGGAAAACCCGTTCTTTTTTATCCTTTGGCCGAGGAACAACACACACATTTAGCAGTTGCGAGGTATACACCTTGCCGGTGGAATTAATGTGAAACGAGCAAGAGGAGAACCACTTAAATTGTCTATACAAATGAGAAATTTCAATAAATACGGATACATTTAAATTTAACTCGATGTTTTTATTGATGGGGGCCTTACAAATAATAAGGAAAATATTTTAAAAGAAGAAATGGGAATAAATGAATGAAAAATCTAAAAAAAAAGCTATTAAAACGTGAGTTATTAACTCGTTCATTAAGGGGGAATATACATCTTAACTTTTAACTATTACAGCCACCAAAAAGTATAAATAAATAAAGCACAAGTTAATCATATAAATTTAGTTTATTGTTTTTCTTTTTCTTGTGTTGTAATTCCGGAATATAAGTATATTACAAAGTCTTATTTGAACTATTTTGCATTATTTGCCTGAATTAAAATTACAATTTCCTTTGCTTCTATATTTTCTTTTCTTTTACATGTATATATACTGAATTTAAAGAAATTCCCGAGGTTATTTGAACTAACCCCATTGGCTGAAATTTATTATAGTTTAATATTTAAAATTTGGAAATTAATTAGCGTTCTAAAAATTGTCAAGTTAAATGAAATACGTAACTAAGTTTCGGTTTTAAGAATATATGTATATCATTATTTAAAGTAATTATTTTTTATAAATGTAAATACACTATTATATACAAAGCACATAAGGATAAAAGAGAGTTCTTGAAGCGTTTGACGTCTCGAGTGAGCAAGGGCCTTGAAAAATCGATCAACTAACTAGAACAGATTCTCGTTAATTCTATTTTAAATGCAAATGCCGTAAACAATATCCAATGGAATGCCTAAACTAAGCATCAAGTGGTGTGTGGGGACTTTCGGTTCGCCTTTATCTACAACTATAACTAAATGCATTCTTTGCATAAATGCGTTAAGGGGGGAGGTCTTGGGATCCGAGACGGTATGTCTGCCTGTCGACTAAAACGTACGCTTCAAACATAGACTTTCCGTTTGCACGTACGAGTGGGGTTATTTGGCACATCGTGGAGTCACTTGAGCACTGGAGTTGCCTGAAATGTTCCTGGCTTCTAGCTAAGTATTTTGACACGGGGTTAGATCGAGCTGGATGTCGAGGATATATAGCCTTAGATGCGGCTTTTCTAACTACAATACGCGTACAGTAATCGTAAATTAATATCGAGTTTGTATTCAAACATTACGTAATCATAAATCGGAATAAAATGGATTTTTAAACGTCATCTACCAATAATCAGCTATAGAGTATTTACAGCATTTAATTTGACACTTTCATTCCCATTGTGTTTTGGCATTGATTCTAGAACGTCTTCAGCATCACTGCAATTTTCAAATCGATCTTTTTAGTGTTTAAATAGTAAGACTTTCAGTGAATTTGGCCGTTTCTGAATCCTTTCGAGTGGCTCTTGGGCTCTTTCGCTTTCGGAGAAATGGCAGTGGTTTACATTCAATTGTATAGTGCCCTAGTTGTAAGTGGTAGTACGTGTATACATATAGGTTTACGCTATCATGCCCACTATGGGGTTATAGAGTTATGCACTAGTTCACATGGTAAATGCATACATGTATATAGCATCTCGGGGAGCGCACATAAACTGCACCCAATCCAATACCGCCGCCCAAACTCAATCGTGTCCTACATTCAGTTACGAATCTAAATAAGTTTTTAAGTACTATTAGAGCCTTGTTATCACTTTCGATTTGTAAGTCGTTTTTGGCGAGGGCAGGTCCACTCAGGGTCGGGGCCGCCACTTCGTTGTTCCTGCATCCCGCTGCACCTGGTTCCTTCACTGGCAAGTCTCTTTCCTAGCTCCTCCTAGATGCGAAAGGATAAAAGTGAGACGTTGCGCTTCAGCAATGTGTGCGGCCGCATCGGTGATCCGTTGCTCGCCGTGTCCACCATGTCCACGCCCATATAGCTGCTGTCCACGGTTCCCCGATCGGCCAGGGTGTGCAGACTCTGCGTGTCATAGTCATAGTTCAAGTCCTGCATAGGCACCACCTCTGGCAGCAGATGTCGCATGTGCGTGGGCGATCGCCTCAGCTTGTATTGATTTCTGTGGGTTAAAAAGGAGAGAAAATTAATAAAGTGGTCAATGTAAATCAGAGATAGACAATAGATAAGACATGCTAGATGGACTTAGATTTACTGGGATGAAATGAATGCTTACTCTGCGTCGCCGTTCTTGCCCAAGTGGTTATTCCTGAAGAGGTCCATAGGAGAAGAGCGCGATGAAAACCAAAATGAGTACACACATTTACAATATCAATTTCAGATGGCTTAGGAATAGCTCAGTATGAAATAATTTAGGAACTATCATAGCTGACTGATAAAAAAATATAATACAACCTTAGCGGAGCTACCACAAATTTTTTAATGGGAATTCTAGTGCCTGCGGTAATAGAAATCAAGAAAATAACCTTGTTTAAATAAGCTTTAAATATTTAAACATTTTCTCTAAATTCTTGTGTTAAATTTAAATTTAATATTTAAAAACAACAAATATTCTTCCTTCCTTCGACTGCCTAAAATTTAATATGGTTACCTCCTGGCTAGACACAAAAAATAGATATATTAAAGGTCAGCTATGCTAGGAGAAGGTCAAAGTTCTTTTGAAAGCCCTCAGACACTGTCAAGCCTCCATTATGCTCTGCATCTATCTCTCGAGGCATGTTATTCACTCGCCGAACACACTAAAGCCGGAAATTCCTGCACTTTCCACCCCCTTCACCGAGAGCAGCGTTAACTGGCCTATTCCTAAGCCTTTCCTAATCGTGCGATGGCATCCTGCTCGGTGCGATTACGTACTTTTTATGCCGGTTCCTATTAAGACTCAAGCAAGGGCACGTGCACATGGACGAGGTGTTGCTTCCGTTGAGGGACTGGCCGTCGTGTCCCTCGTAGCCGCTCAATATGGATCCGTTGGAAGTTATCACATCGCCCTCCAGCTTTACAGCCACTTGAAGCGCCTGCAAAGGGGTGATAGGATTAATTAAGGACATACAGGATGGGTATTCGAATGCCGAGTGGGTGGAGTATAGCGTTGAAAGCAGAGGAACTGTGTCCGTGTAGGTTTTTGGGTGGTGGTGGTGGTCGTGGTGGTGCTGTTGTTCAGTGTGGTACAGTAGCCAGGTGGTGAAGTAGTTTGTGGTGGGAGTTAGTCAAAAATATTGGAATCTGAAAACCGCAATCACCTCGTTGGTCCATAAACTGGACTTGGACATAAACTAAGCTCGCGTTTAGCATTTGATTCGTTTCGTATCGTTTCGTTTCGTTTCGTTAAGTCAAAAGCAACCGAAAATATGCCAAAAAAGAAAATATTTATTTAGGTTTTTTGTTTTTTATTTGAGATTCTCTCGCATTTTGGGCCTGCATTGAATAAATTGTATTACATTAATTGGTTCAAAACATTATTGGTACAATTAGTAAATATTGAAAAAGAAACCGAAGGTGCAAGATCAAGAGTTAGCCAAGTGTGCAGCAAAGTGTCAAGCAGATATATATCAAAACTAAAGCCAAATGAATTAAGCAAATTGTTCGAAGGTACGAGTATGAGACGGAAGAGATGGAAGTTACTCGAGTAGAATATACTTATGTTACGTAAAAAAAGGTTTACAAAATCGTAAACATTATGGTTTGATTCTAGGGTACAGTGAAGCGTTGGTATTATTAGGATACAAAAACTGTAGAGAAAAGCGGTTGACTACCAAAACAGGGAAGCGTACTCGTTCGACTCGAATGAGAATGTACGAGTGACATAGAAGTTAGTAGTAGTTAAAAAATTTTTAAAACAGTCCTCAAGTCTACGGTAATATAAATGGCATGAGTGGCTCGAGCTACTCCCAGCGGATCTCACCTGCATGGCCTGGGCCTCGTCGCGTCGCTCATCCTCGGTATTCATTGTAACAAACCTAAGTACTAACAAGTTCAGCGAGGCGGCCACGATGGCCAGGCCGAACAGTATAAATATCAGTGCAAACATCACGTATTCGGGCTTCCTGTTCAGTGCATTATCCCGCTGCAGGGCTACCATGTCGCCAAAGCCTAAAGGGAAGCAAATAATTAAAGGGATTTATAACATTTTTACAGGCACTAAATAACCTCACCTATTGTGGTTAAAGTAATAAAACAGTAATATACTGAATCGAAGTAGCTCCAGCCCTCAAATCTTGAAAAGGCCGCAGCACCGCCTGCTATCGTCAGCGAACTGAGTGTGGTCACAACACATATAAGGTCCACCTCCGAGGCGACAGTCCGTTTGCAGCGCAGCGAGGTGCGAACCGCTTGGATAACGTAGCTGGCGGAAGATGAAACATACAGTTTAAGGTAAGGTTGCTTATTATAATATATATGTGTATACCTGCTCAGTCTATTCACTCTTTCTCCGATGCTCTGGAACATAACGAGTCCCAGGGGAATCCCCACAATGGCATAGCACATGGTAAAGAGCTTTCCGCCCACCGTGCTGGGCGTCGAGTGTCCGTAGCCTGAAATTATTATGGGGGGAGGGGGGGTCAATCATTGGAGGAGGGCCAAGCCAAGAAGCTCAGTAGGTCGCATTACTCACCTATGGTGGTGAGCACCGTGGTTGCATAATAAAATGCACCGGTGAACTTCCACTGCTGGCCGGCCTTGTGTGATTCCGATTTAAGCACCACAGTCTCCATGACTTTGAAGTCCTCCTGTGATATATTGTATTTGCGTATTATCATGTCCTCGGCATCTGCAAATAGTTGCAAAAAAAAAACACGGCCCACCAGTGTTTATGACGTAAGTCACATGAATCCCAACGCCACCGCCGGTCGTTATATCTCTCAGTTACATGCAATCTTACACTTGGAATAAATTCAAGACTTTATTCTTTAGGGTTTTGGTACAACTTATTTTTTATTCTTTTTTAAAAGAAAAAAAAGGCACGATACAATTTATAATTGAAAAAAGTATCTTTAATAATGACGAAGGAACTGAAAGTCCTGTATCATGTTTCTAAAAACTCAACGTTAAAAAAACATTCGTTTAAGTTCTGAAGGACTTTTAAGGCAGCTCCCTTATTAATGTTATTATTTGAGCTAACAAAACTATAATCAAAATCTTTTCATCTCATATAATTTTTTCCAGTGTATGCCCAAGTGTGTTTGTGCACTTACCTTGCAGCGCCTCCCAACGACGCTTTTCCGTTTCCGATTCGAGGGCGTCAAAGACGGCGGCGCCGACAAGCAAATAGGTAAATGTACACACGATCAAGGATATCGTGCGCACATTTTGTTTCTTCATTCTTCATTTAGGCGAGTATTGGTTCTTGATCGTTGCTTGATGGATGCAGATGCAGATGCGGCATTCAGTGGCGTCGCCTCCGCTTGCGGTACAGCTTGCAGGGCTGGCTACACCTGCCTTCGTCCATAAGGGGGGGTGGTCGGGTCGCCTTCTGTTTATCTCCGGCCCCGTTCCTTTTCTCTCTCAGGAGGACGAACTGCTTAAATTGGGTTAACAACGCGCCCACTCCCACTCTTCGTCGTAGTTTTCGTAGTCTCTGCTTTTTGGCAAACTCACTTAGCACTTTGATTGCATTAAAAATAATATCACTCGGGGGCGTTCACGTTTTTAGTTGGTTAGCTGCTGCTGCTGCTGAGGCGGAGGTGGAGCTGGCGGCAGGTGGCGTTTATTTCTGTCACAGGCCGTGGGCCTCTGTCCTCGTCGCGTTCGTTGCGCCTTCCATGTCCTTGTGTTATTTGTGCTGCATGTACATGTGCATGTGCCAGTGCATGTGCATGTGCGAGTGCTGGCCATGCTGCAATCCTTCATCGGGCGGCGGCAGTGCTCCCAAGGATGCTGCTACTGCTCTCGCTGCTGCTGCTGACGGGCGGCATTTCGCTGTAGTTGTGGCCGCGTCCTTCCTGCGTGGAATGGCTTGAATTAGGTTTTATGGCCTGGGCTAAAAATAGCTCTTGCAACTAATCTGTCATCATCAATATCACAGCCCCAAACAGGAGACACTACACAGACTCCGCGCCCGCTTGGGGGAGCTCAAGCCAACAGGCGGGGTCATTGGTAGAGGGATTTTCTAGGTATTTTACGAAATTCTGGGGGGTTTTTTGTAGGAAATTTGCACTATGCTAAAAATATTACGTATACGCTTTTGGGAATTCCTGAATCGTTTTGTAATTATGAGAATAATAGAAGCATTTAAAAACTCTTCAATCGTGTACCTTTTTAAAATGTTTTCAGGATAAATAATTTAAAGGATATCTGAGATTTAGCTATGTTTTACTATTTCACTTAAAATTAAGACACTCAAAACAGAATTCTTTTAATTTTTGGTTAATTGTGTAACTTAAAGTCCAGCTTTCTACTGGTTGAGTTACTTATGTACCGCCGGAAGTGCTATTATATTGACCCCTGCTGTGTGTACACTTCATCTCACCTTACTCACACACAAGTACCGCACGCAAACATGCAAATAAAAAATTCATTTGCATGTGTCCTTCGCCAATAAGCGTAAGGATTTGTGGACACACTGGCGAAACCGCATTTTGGCAACGTGTGAAGCTGCAAAATCTCAGCTGTAATTGTTGAATAATTCAGTTAACAGGCGGGATAATGAGACGCCGAAAAATGAAAGCTCTCGCGGAGCTATTGTGTGTGTGTGGTGGCCATCTAACGGCAATTTATTGATGAACAATGAGGCAGCATTGCAGCAGTCTCTGTCTCTGAATTATTCAACTGTGTGTGTACATCTCCGAGTGTGTTTGAGCGCGACTGTGTGTGTATGTGTGTGTGTGTGTGTGAGGTTCAAAGCGCGTTGAAGTGTACGCACACAGACACACATGCATGGGCTTTTTTTAATTTATCGAATGAAGTAGCCAAAATGTTGGTCCTTCCTTCGGCGGGGATTGTGTGGGGTGGTTTTCGCCAACCAAAAAGGATGCCGACAATGCCCATGTCCATGGCAGCCCTTAGTTAACTTTTTTGTTAGTTTCCCTGCCCGTGCTGCTGCTGCTGCTGCTTGTTTGTTGTGCTACTTCGCGCAGCTTTTCCCCCTCATCCTGCCCCGTGTGTGTCCTCATTCCTCCACACGTCCTCCCATGCACTGGCAATGACAGTGACACTAGCAAGAGAATTCCCCACTTCCCAGTCCACCACCACATCCCATCCCGACGAGAAGGAGAAGAAAAAAAAAAATGGGGGGTAGGGGACGGGGACGTAGGAGAACAGGACTCTTCTCACATTTGAATTGTTCCATTATGTAAAGCACCACGCACACGCACACATGTGGGTTTCCGCTCCTTGGAGTTAGACGTAATTTGCAGTCGCCGCGCGAATCCTTTGATTTGACCAACGATAATTGCACAAAATGCTGGGCGCCCCACAATTTTTTCACTACCGTAATTTGGCTCCGCTTGGGCCCCACTTGTGTCGCCACTCGGATTCGCATCCGTAATGCTCTCGACTCGACGGCACGGAATGGCGGAAGCTTTGCTCCGGCGCACAACTGTCGGCTGCTGCTGCTGCTCTGCTGGCAGGCAGGGTTGCGAAGGACAATTTATCACAATAATCACAAATATGTATATTTTTTAACCAGAAACCATTATCGCGTCTCGGCGTTGTGCCAGCGTTTTTTAATGAGATTTTTCCTTATTTATAATATATTTTTTTATATTTTAAGTTGCAAACGGAAGCTGCGGCGCGGGCGAAAATTTTTCAAAACTTTCGCATTGCGTGTTGCTTAAATAGATTTTTGGATGCGAAAGCTCATCCTGTGAATTTCTCTCATTGCTAGGACTCTCTCTCTCTCCCTCTCTTGATGTTAACCGGTTGGAAAACCGTAACAAGTTGCTGAGAATCCTGCGTCTTCTGGGTTTGAGTCTCTGCTAATGGGGTTAAGAACTTTGCTGGTTTAAGGACTCTTGGCAACTTTGCTTTAAAAATAAACTGTGAAATGCAAATTTTGTATATATTCTCGTTTAATTTACGTTTTTTTAAAGTTTAAAAAGCCAAAAATATAAATTTCACTGAATTTTGTTAATAAATAAAAAGAAAATTTATATTTCACAGTTCTAAACAGAATCAAAGAAGAAAAAAACGCTTTTTCCTGGACTTAAAAAAATATTGAAATGCTGATTTTCAAAAATATGATAAGGAAATAAAATATATAATAAAATTAATATGATAATTCAGGTATTTAAATCATTTCTGAATTAATATAATGATTTTTGAACTTTTAAAATTGTTAGGCAGTGAAAAGTTTTAAAGTTTATATTAAGCCATACTTTCCCTTAATCGAATATATTATTTATAACAGCTTTATTTTCTTTGTTTTAGAATTCTTTATTAGTTAAAAAAATATAACTGTTTATTAGTAAATATATGTATATTCCATAAAAAGTGTAATGACCACATTTCGCCCCAAGACAACCCATCTGAATAGTATTAGGGAAGCCTTTGCCTGTCGCCTTGACTTACCTAACTCTGCTCAAGCTGAAGCTATTCCTTGGCACAGTGACCCGCTTGTCAGTCAACTGGACTGCCGAGGCCAAATTGGCCCGGAAAGCCTAAAGTATGAAGACAGGACACCAATCTAAAAATCAATTTCCACCATTTAGGGCAAACATGTTTTGTGGCCTGGCCATGAGTTGATAATTAAATGCAGAGCAAGTGTACACTGGCAAATGCGTCAAAGCTTATAACTATGGGAAGTCAGTGCTCCATGGCCTCGGGAGGCAGGACTATGTTGCAGCCGAGGAGGCCGCGTCCGCTCCAGGTCTTCGGCACAAGGATCAGATCCAGCTGCTGCTCGCCGCGCTTGATTTTGAGTTGAACATTCTGGTTTTGCATGTTGCGAACTATTTCACCAATCTGGCCTAGATCTCCTTTGAAATTGTTGCTGTTGACGGAGCCAAAGCGGAGGATAGCATCGCCCACACAAAGTCCCTACGATATAGAATTATGTAATATATACAAAAGAAAATCCCTTTTCTAATTTTCTACTTACAGCTTCTTCTGCGGGGGAATTGGGGCTGACTAGGTTGACCACGACAAAGGCGCGAGCTGGTGCCAAGTTGGATATATTAGCTCCACCGGTGGTTCGATCGCTATCCAAGTCCAGGGCAGAGGCACGGTTCACCAGCTCAGGATCTGTGGTAGCAATTTCACTGTGGTACAAGTTGAGCTGGGTCTGGATTTGGTTCATCAGCTCCTTGTGATCGTTCTGCAGGCAGATGATGGACTGGCGGGCCTGGCGCACCTGATAGATATCGATGTCGTTTCGCGGAAAGCCCTCCAAGTCCACCAGCGGACCACTCATGCCTACATTGTCGTTCTAAAAGAGAAAGCAATTTATTAATGTACTTGGAGTGCCCTTGGATATACATTTTCCCTCGGTCAACCTTTTAGGGTACTAAGTTTAATCTTAATTAGTCAAATTACGATAAATTGTTGTATTTGGATTTCGAAAAGGTACTCAAAAGCTTTGTTATATATTTAATAATAGCGACCTTGAAAACTTTCGGAGTTTTTCCGAAGGAAAATCACGCTCACATTTATTCTCTATATAAATAATAACTTATTATTAATAAGATATAATTAAAATGATTTTAAATTAAATTTTTGTTTATTTAATAATAGCAACCTTAAATACTTTTGGAGGTTTTCTGAAGAAAAACAAAGCTCTCATTTAATTATGAAAAAAGATGTATTAACAAATATAAAAAAAATATTTTATACATCTTAATATAATGAATAAGCTATAATTTTAAAAATTTTACATTCTCAAAATATAATCTATAATAAAAGAGATATATTTTTCTGAAAAGCTTGTCAAATTGTATGTGCAGCTGATATACCCTACAATCAGTATTACAGGGTGTCTGTGTGGATGAATGCGCGACTTTACTTACGGCGGCCAGGATCTGTCCGTGCTTGCTGATCTGTTCCTCCAGCTGCGCCTTGGCGGCCATCAAGCGCTCCAGACGTTCCTTGGTGGTAATCTCTGTGGCCATGACTTCCCGTTCGCTGATATTCGAGTATTTTAAAAAATACAAATTCCTCGTTTGTTTTGCTGTTTGCCTCGCCAACAACAACAAAAAGTACGAGTTCAGCCCTGGTCGCGTGCGGCAGTGTGACCGTATCGCGCAATTGTCAATTTGACCATAAATAATTGTTAAACAATTTTTTTTGGAAAGGGAAAAACAAATTAAGCGAGTAAACACAGAAATTAACAGAAATTGATGAAAAACAGAGTCGCTGGTAACTGTGCGGCTAAGGGGGGCAGCGGCATTCCGACGGATTTCGCGCACTTTACGGAAGGCGACGACGAGAGACCTCGAGAAACCTCACGGCGTTGGTTCGTGTGTGTCTGTGCGAATTGATTACAAAAATAAAGTTATTTCGAGAGGTGTGCGATAAACGCGGCGCCGAGGAGGAGCCAATCGAGAGAGGAGGAGGAGGTAGCACCCAGTACGTAGGCCGCTGCAGCAGCAACTTCGATCCAGTTCGCGCCATTCCATTCCGCCGGCGGGTGCGACGAACGATGTGAGCAGTGGGCCCTTTCCGTTCGGGGGTTTATGCAATGTTCTAGCTCTCGCCCAGGAGAGGGAGAAGCGGGATCGGGGAGAGCCAGAAGGAGAGTTAGTTAGCAGCAACGAGAGGCGGAGCGGAAGGAGGAGGAGGAGTAGTAGCAATCAGAGGCAGAGCGTGTCCAGATGACTGTGACCACCATGGAGGCACCAGTCAAGGCAGCACACCATCACGTCGTCGGGGGCGGCGGCGGAGCGCAACAGCAGGAGGCCCTGGGCGAGGAGGATCCCATTGGCGACGAGATGACCGTTCTGCTGACCAACAAGAACTTTCACTTCGACACGGCCTCGGAGCTGGATGAGCCGTTCGTGGAACTGAAGGAGGGTCACGAGGTGGACATTCAGCCAGCAGGCGGCGTGGAATTTTATACAGAGGACGAACTGCTGGAGGAGCAGCCACATCCGCAAGTCACTTGGCTAAACGACGACGAGATCGAGACCCTGGATCGCGTCACCCTGGACATGGGCAATATGTTCTTCAATCGCGTTGACAGCCAGGACATAATCTATCAGCAGAAGAAGAAGAACATTAAGATGGTGGGAAAGTACATCATGGGCGACGTGCTGGGCGAGGGCTCCTACGGCAAAGTGAAGGAGGCCATAAACTCAGAGGACCTCTGCCGACTGGCAGTCAAGATCCTGACGAAGCGCAAACTGCGGCGGATCCCGAACGGCGAACAGAACGTCACCCGCGAGATCCATCTCCTCAAGCAGCTAAAGCACCCGAACGTGGTGGAACTGATGGACGTGCTGTACAACGATGAGAAGCAGAAGATGTACCTGGTGATGGAGTACTGTGTCGGCGGGCTGCAGGAGATGGTCGACTACCAGCCGGACAAGCGAATGCCGCTGTTCCAGGCGCACGGCTACTTTCACCAGCTTGTGGACGGCTTGGAATACCTGCACAGCTGCCGGGTGATACACAAGGACATCAAGCCGGGCAACCTGCTGCTCTCCCTCGACCAGACCCTAAAGATCTCCGACTTTGGGGTGGCAGAGCAACTGGATCTCTTTGCGCCAGACGACACTTGCACCACGGGCCAGGGATCGCCCGCTTTCCAGCCGCCAGAGATTGCCAACGGACACGAGACCTTTGCCGGCTTCAAGGTGGACATCTGGAGCAGCGGAGTGACACTGTAAGCATGATACTTAGCACCCTGTAATCCTATATTTTATTCTATGTCTATGTCGCAGCTACAACCTGGCTACTGGACAATATCCCTTTGAGGGTGACAACATTTACCGGCTGCTGGAGAACATAGGCCGAGGACAGTGGGAGGCACCCGATTGGCTTTACGAGCTGGATCCCGACTTTGCCAGACTCATTCTGGGCATGCTGCAGGCTGACCCCAGCCAACGGCTCTCGCTCCAGGAGATTCGGCATGACACGTGAGTGGCAAAGACCTTCTGTGGTGGATTTATTAATGGTTGATGGCAAACTTTCAGATGGTTTATGTCTGCACCGCTGGTGACCGGCCCACCGATACCCATTCCCCCGCTGAAGGGCGACAAGTACCGCAGTTCAACTGTGGTGCCTTACCTGGAGGCATACCACTACGGCGATCAGGACCAGGAGGATGTCTACTTTACAGAGCACGACGTTAACCGTGGGTTTTGATTTAGTGGAAGAAGTGAAAGGACTCTCTCTAATATAATTTTCTTTTTATTTTGCAGAGGAGCTAGCCCGGCAAGCGCAAGCCGCTGCCTCGGAGATTCGGTCCAAGCAGTCGGCGGCGGCCCAAGCCGCTTGCCACACCTATGAGCCACCTTCTACTAGTGCCGCCGCCGCCGCTGCTGGTGCTTCCTTCTCCGGACATTCACTGGGCAATGGAAGCATGGAGGAGGCACCGGTTAAGAAGAAAGGATCAGCGCTAAAGCGCCGGGCCAAGAAGCTAACCTCCTGCATCTCCGTGCGCAAGCTGAGCCACTGCCGGACATCGTAGGCGCCGCCGCCACCAAACTAGAAGCTAAGAGTAATCGAAAGTAATAACTTTGTTAACAAATTGTGAGCAACATTTTGGTTTTGTTTTCCCCGTTTTTGTTGTCCTACATTCGCCAAGTATTTGTAACCATAGAACCTATGTAGGCGAGCCAGGAGCAGCCCAGGATATTGCCGAATCAGCACAAAACTCAAAGTCAAAGCTGATGGTTGGAATGGGCAGTCTGTTGGTTGACACGAAAGCTATATATCCATGTGACAATACTGTGTATTATATGAAGCGTAAAATGAAAGCGTAAATTAGTCGTTAATATATGATGATGTACTGAAGGCGGCAGGGGATCGCTGGAGGAGCAGGATGGTGCATCCTTTTGCACACACATAAAGAAACATGTTCAAGGAAATTTGTTGTTGGCTTCGTTATATTCTAAACTACATAAACACGAGATGCGATTTTCAGGCGCCGACGGTACAATAACTGCTGGACAGTATTTGCAAGGCCTAGGTTGACATTTTAATTTTTACAAAACCAATGAAACGAAAATAAAAGAAATCCGTTGAAGATCAATTACCAAACATTGCATTTAGTTTGCTCCACACACACACACACACACACACACCCTTCCATACACACATTAGGCTAGCTAACTACAGAGGCTTAATCTAGTTCCACGATCTCCAGCCGGGCCGTGGGATCCGGCTCGGATTGCCCTGCCATCAGCTCGCCCATGATAAACATCTGGTGGTAGTGGTGGCCCAGCGTGGACAGTTTCCGTTGCATCAGGTGACGCAGCGTGTCCACATACTGGGGCGGCACTCTGGCCATCGGCGTGTTTGTATTCCGCCAGTGCAGGCCATTGTTGTCCACATGGAACAGAGCCGGCGAGGGCACGTGATCCTTAAGGTAGTTCCAGATGCACTCGCGCAGCAGTAGGGCAATCTGGAAAGGGAAAATATAATAATAAGCTGCTTAGAAGAGGAAACTTCTTAAAAAACCCCACCTCTGCCGACTCAAAGTGATCGATAATGAGATGCAGGTTGGTCAGTGGCGGTGGTATTAGTTGGCTCATGGCCAGCAGCTGCAGCATCTTCTTGGTGCAGAGCATCAGTTCATCGTTGGCCGATGTGGGCTGGTATTTATTCACTAAAAAAATGGGTTTTTGTTAAAGAAAAAATAATAAGATATTTATAAACCGTAAGCTCACCATTTTTACCCCGCCAGTGATGCAGACAGGTGGCGCAGAGTGCCCTTAGCAGCACTGAGGAGTAGCAGAGGGCCGGCCTGTGGGCTGCTATCAATCCCAACACCGCCCACAGCACGGGGGAGGTGATGAACGCTCTCCGAATTTGCATGTCCCGCTCCATGGTGACCTTGGTGAACTCCTCGTCCGGAAAGGGCAGACCATTGTACATGACATCCGTGGAGACCAGCTCGACCAGCAGCAGCGAGACCAACGAGTAGCCCTCCACGTTATTCGGCTTCTCCAAATCCGCACAGCAGGCATTCAATGCCTTTAGATATAGAGCCTGCTTTTCCGCATCGCAGCTTCGCTCGTTGGAGGGCAGGACAGGTCTTAAACCACGCCCAATAATACCGGAATGCAGCACAGATCGATTGGAGTTGGCGCCGGAGCTAGTGTGCAGGTTTTGCAGGATGAGCAGCTCTTGCTCTGGTATCTTCAACTCATCCAGTTCGTATTCCTCAAGCTGGCCCAGCAGGTGACCGTGATAGAAGAGGGCACCTTCCACAAGTTCACGCAGGCAAATAGTTCGAGCAATCTTACGAGCAGAACACTGGCGCTGCAGCAGGTTATAAGAGCGATGCGAGGCTGCAGCACGGCGGATTACAGCTGTAAGAAAGGATTGTTTACATAGGATACAAAATATAAGCTTTACTTTTTAGCTTTTAACTTACTCCTCTCAGTGAGCCCCACAAAAAAGTACTTTACACTGAGGACGGCTAGCTTTAGAACCATGGGAGTCCGCAGCACATTCGTGCGGCTGCCCGCCTCAATGTTGTTTAGTAAATCCACAATTAGATGAGCCAAACGCATACGGGTGGCGTCCTCATCCTCTACCTTACTCTCGCCTGCTTCCAGCTTTGGTCGCTTGCCGTATTCCTTGCCATTGCACATGTCATTGCTGTTGTTGTTGTTATTGTTTGATTGTTGCGCTTTAAATTTCTGGGCACTATGCTCGGCCGCATCCCTGTCCATTTTGAGAACCAATTTATTGACGGTACAATCAAAGATTTGAATGATTTTGGGCAGACATTCATTGAGAGCCTGATTAAGTTGCTGCGCCTTGATATAGGGAGCCACATTCTTGCTCTTGTGCATCCTAAAACAGATTCATGAGATATAAATAATTGAAAGAGATTATTTACTGCTTACTTGGCCAGTATGTTGAGGTTGGAGAACGTGTTGAATGCCTCTGTTGGTGTGCCCGGTGGCACTGGCAAGCGACTGTTAACCTGCACATGTAAAGTAATGTCCTCCAGGACCATTTTGAAGCCTGGGGTAAATCCAGGAAAGTTGACCATGCCACTTTGGCCACCCAGCAGACGGATAAGAGCACCAATACCATTGGGATTCTGGGCATACGATTTCCTTAGCAGTTGCGATATGGTTTGGTAGTATATGTGAGGATGCTGGGAGGCTACAATACGATTTTTATACCCATTTGTTATTATATAATTATTGTTTATACTCACAGACCACCAGCAGCAATCGAACTGCCGTCTGCTGCTCAAAGAGATTGGTGCTGAGGCAGCTTTTCCAGAGCATGTACTTGGTTTCCTCATAGGCCAGGTCCGCCAGCAGCGGGAAATTGCGCTGGTTGAGCACCCACTGCTCCAGCTCTTGCATGGAGTTGTCTAGAAAATCCTGGCACCAAGTAAATTTCTCGGCCAACCTGGCGGCCGTGATAAGCAGCGTGGCTCCATGCTCGTTCAGCCTTAGGACGGCGTTGTTAAGTGTGGGCTGCATGTCGGCGAACATCTTGTTGCTCAGCCAGAGCGGCGACTTTTGCACAATTACCTCGCTCATGTCCTCCGAGTCTAAAAGAAAAAGAATTTTAAGTTAAAAGCCCTATTTCTCCCTGACAAATACTAACAAATTTCCACAAGAACATTGACCAAGCTCTGGAGAATCGCATCCGAATAGTTGGTGGTGATCAGCAGGAACGGAACTACAGCCACATCAAGTGACTTCTTGGGCGCAAATCCCTCCCTTAGCATCTCTCGGAAGGCAGCCCTAAGGTGCTGCTCGTGGCATGAGGTCATGTAGTCCAGGATACCCGCTTCAGAGTCAAGATGACACCGGTAATCATCCACGAATCGCTTAATGCCACACTGCAGGATCTGCATGATGATCTTGTAGGGAAAGCAGCCGCCCAGCCTGGCCACAATCCAGTCAAAGGTCATGGGGAAACGATGAAAGGCGTTTAGCATGATTTCCACACAGGCCTCCTCCTCCGGCTGGGTCAGCTTGCGGAAACAACTGTTGATGAGGGTCATCAGACCGTGCATGGCGCTGCACTCCAGCCAGTAGTTGCAGCTGGCCGTGATGGTCATACGTCGCTGGGTGTACTTGTCCGAGAGCTTTGCCACCAGCTCCAGGCTCCAGTTGGCAATGAGCGGCGACCAGGCCGGTGGGCCCTTCCACACCAAGCTCTGCAGCGCCGTCTTTACGATGTTGAAGCTCTCGTAATCCGGAGCACGCGCCTGTTGCTGCCGGTTCCCGGCCTGCTTCACCTGCGACACCGGCATCCCGGTCTTCGGATCCGCCATCTCTGGCGACACATACAGCTGAACGCTGATCTCCGCTAGCAAGGCGAAGTACTCAAATACAATGTCCCGCGTGGCAGGCAGCTCCTCCAGAAAGCCCAACCTGGAAGAGTTCAAGAGTTGTTTACTATGCTCCGGGAACGAAAATAACTACGGCGGCTACTGACGCTAGCTTGATGAGACTGGGATTGGTGAGCAGCTGGGGATTGCTGTGGCCATTGCTCACTGTTTCTATAAAGTGCTTGAGCTGATCCAACAGATTCTGGCGCAGCATTTCTGTTTTCTTGGCATCGGATGCAAAATAAGTCGGCTAAAAGGTAGGAGGAAACAGTGTGACCAGGCGGCACTGTAACCACCAAAACCAAGTACTAAAAAAGAACGCAACTACGGTCTTACAGCAGTAAGAGCAGAAAAATTTTAAATTTATTTGCTTTAATAAGTTTATTAGCTTTATTTGTTTTGTAGCGGATTTTATTAAAAAGTTATTATATAATTAAAGGCCATTATTATGCTTTGTTGCCGCAATTTCGGCCCACAGCGTCTGTGTCATCCTTTGTTCGGCTGCATCCGAATCCTCAGGGGACATTTTGTTAAGTAAGGACTCCCAGTAAGCGAAAATTGGTCTGGAAAAAGCAGTCTTTTGCTGATGTTCCACCTCTTTTAACGGTGACAATTCTTCTCTTTTTTCTTTGCTTTTTCCAATCTGTATTAGATATATATACAAATAACAGAAATAATAATAATATAAGTATATTAAGCTTACGGATGAGTACATATCTTCGGTCCAATTAGAGAGATACTTGTCCAGGTCCTTGGCATCCTCAGTTAAGCAACTTATATCTGTTTCCAATCGGGAGCCCGCCTCTTCGTACTCATAAGGTTCATCCTGCGTGGATTCGCTGTCTTCCCTCGCAACGGGATTGAATGTGGTTCTTGGTCTCCTGAAATAAGTTAAAAGTAAGATAACATTTGGAGACATTTTAAAGCAACCTACGCCCTCTCTCTCACATCCTTGGGCAAGAAAGCCAAGTGGGAGGCAAACCGCCACTCGCTGTCGACTCCGTTCTTTTTCGTTGTTCTGCAGTAATATCTGTGGCTGTCCCGCAACGACTTCCAGGCTGTTTTGCAACTAATGACTGTAACGTAAATGTGTATATAATATTTATTTGGATTTCTAAGTCTTATAGACAGACTTACAGTCTTTATTTAGGGCCGCAGCTACGCTCTCCCAAGCCCTTTTTAAATAGAATCCATCGAAATGTCTTTTGTCTCTTATGTCCCACAAAATGGGCCGAGAATGAACCTGCTGGATTAACAGGACCTTTTCTTCATATACGAACGATCGAGTATGTTTTGTGCGTGGCCTTTTTAGTCCTTGCATTATTTTTATTTTCGCCTATTTGATGCTTTAATTTATGAGAATTAATAAACGTTTTAGCTAGCGAAACAATTGTTTATCTTTTGCTAGCGGCGTAGTGTGACCAGGTCTTCTAAAGTCTAGGCTTTTTAGGCGGCGATTTCCTTGGATAATTCTAAGAAATCGGAAGTTCCTTGACAAGGAACTCTAAGGATTATAAATATATATTATATTACTCTTAAAATTCCTAAAAAAGCATAAAATAAAAGTAGCTGCAAGTGAAAATTGTAGCTAATGAAAATACAGTCGATAACTCTATTCAATATCTGGCCAATGCTGCCCATTGTTGGCTACAGGCGTTATTTTTGAATTCGTATTCCAGTCAATAAAATCACACATAAACAATCGAAATGCGTTAATTATCGTAAATGCATTTCATTAACCGTTACTCGCCAGTCTTTATGACCAAACTTTGCATGTGAATGAAAACTAGTTTGTGTCAGCTGAAAAAGTAAATTAAATACAACCAATATATTATAAACCCCTTAATTGAATTTTTATTAAAACAAAAAATTTACTGTCTCTTCACATGCAAATCACCGGATTTGCCGGATCAACGCAGTGCAGATTATATTATTCCCCCGCCGAAAGCTGGAAGGCTACCAAATTGCCCGACTTGGGACGCACAGATCCATCAATTAATGTTAGTTAGCCGATTCGTTCGGTTTCTGTGTCAACCAGCTGACCTTGATATATTTTCACGATGGCCGATCAATGTTCAAACACGAACCACCACCGAGCGCCTTGCGCAATTTCTAATGTCTCTCTTGTTTTTATATATGCGTACTAAACCCCATCGTCTACTCTTCGTCTCACCATTCCATCTTCATTCCATTGACGCCAGCTTCCTCGGATCGAGTTGGCTGGCTGCTGATCGATTTGCTACGAATCTGGTTGTGGGGCTGTTGACAAATGTGGTCGAAATGATGCTGATGCTGATGCTGGGGATGTCCAGTTGCTGTGTTAATTTAACGTTTTATTGTTTTCAATACTTTTCTAAATCTCCGGAGATGGCATTAAATTCAAATTGGCAGGTGTATTGAACGGGTTTCAAGCTATAATCGTTGGGTTTTGGGCAGGGCCAGTTTTGCGGGAGAATGACTTGTATTGGACTTTGTTATTCTTGGCCGGTTGCCTTTTCTTTTTTTTTTGGTATTTCACACTTTCGATTGCATTGCCTCAGACTGAAATTCCAAGTAAATGTAAAAACGATGAGAATGATTTGCAGAATCGGAAAATACCACTTGACTTAACCGTTATTTAATAATCTAAACAGCAATAACAATGGTGGGAACACACTGCAAGAAGTAAGTAGGAGTTTTAAAAAATGTAAAGGTAAGACAATTTAATTGTTTTTAATAGAATATCATTAAAATAAATCAAATATATTGAAGATTAAGATAAAAATTTTATACTTTTGATCAATTTTGAGAAAGGTAACAAACTTTATGAAGCCGAAATTTGTATTTGTTTGTTATAGGATCATGACAAGGCATCAAAAAACGATCGAAACTAAGGAAAAAAGCATTAATTTGAGATAGGAATTATTATAGGAATTATAAGTTTAACAAATTAGCATTAGAAATTTAAAATATTAAGAAATAAATATGTTGGCCCAATTTTAGACAATTTTAACTATGTAACCCCTTATAAAATTTATTTGATTTTATAGTTAACATTATACTTCAGTGTTAAAAATTCTTTATATAAATACTTTTATATTTTATAGAGTTATTAATTGTTGATCATCTACACAAACATTTCTTCTATCAAATATAATCAAAAATAAATTAAAAATCAGCCAACTAAACATTTTAGAAACTAGATTATTAGCTACAAATTTTCGCTGAGTGATGCACCCCTGTGGCAATTGCATCTTCGAGGGCTATTGAGACTTTGGCAACGCGAAATCAACGCATCAATCATCCGACGTTGCCCAACAACTGGGAGGTGCAGCCCCAAGTGGCTTTGACTGGGAGTAAGTGCAGCCTAGCCACAGATTTGCCAGCTCCTCATCAGTGCCCATTACCCAGACTCCGAGGTAGAATTCCTCCCTTGACGCTTGTTCCGATCGCTTTTGGTAATTTGATGATCTTCACGAGAGCTGCAACCTTGAACTCGGGTTTTTTATAGTATCGCCATGCTCGGATAAGGCCAGTAGTACTAACGAGAGACCAAAATAAAAACAAGCGCCACATAGAGTCACAAAAACACTCCCGAACAATGGACTTGGCCGGCGATCGACAACACCCACCAGATGCTGGCCAAAATTGGACGCGGACCATCTGCGTGGCATCATTAAGATCGTCACCTGGCGACGCGTCGTGTGATTGGGAGTTGAATTAAAGTCAATGTTTCTGGGCCGAAGGTTGTGCCATTAAGCATAAGCAGCGTCTGCTCGCAAAAAAAAAAAACAACATTACTTTGAGCAGCCGAAGCCCCGAAGCCACAAAAAGTCATTGTACTCTCAGCCAGGGAATGATCACCGGAAGAGCCAAGAAACCGGACGGATCCGGCCATTGATTCAAAATTTATTTAGGTCCGATTGTTGGCCAGCATAAGAGGATAAACGAAACATGTGCCAAGTTCCTTCAACTTACTGGAATGCATAATTTAAGGCAGGGTTTTAACTCAGGTGAGTAATTAATTGTTATAACAATGCACTTTTGGTGAAGTGGGGAAAAATTAAACAAACAACCCTTTAAGCTTAAATATTTACCCTTTAAAAAATATTTAAAAAATTAGTATATTATTTTATTCATTAATGATTAATTCAAATAATAAATACTACAAACCTATTAGACTCAACCCCATTTATTCCTAGATGGGTAATTATCTAAAAAGAGCAAAAATTGCAATAGCTCCATGCAAACTCTTAATAATACTTTGGCAGATTGGGTTAAAATTTGGATATTTTATGCAAATTTTTATTTGCAAACTCAAGGCCAGGTTTTGTGGTTTTTTTTTTCTGTGCTGTTTGGTTTACATAAATTATATGATAAGGTGGGGCAAGCATGCACATTAAGAAATTTCGAAACACAAATTTGTAAAAAGAATTTGCTGACACCAAAACCGACTTTACTCTTTTGAATGGAAATTTGCCAACGAATATGGTTGTAAAGCACTTTAAAGTTTAAACAGATTCTACAACAAACAAAAACTATATATATTCGTTTATCGTAAAATGACCGAAATGTGGAAATTTTCCGACAGAATCTACCATTCGGGAACTTGCCTGACCCTATACGGCATTTCCTGGTTTTTTTACATGAGATAATGACCAATTCAATAGGTTTTCCTCTAGTCATTCGGCCACTAGAAAAGCCCTTGACAAAGATTGTATTTGAAACCTCCGCCCAATATGGATGACGCGTGTTTCGGATCTGTTAGATGGGATCAGCTAAGGGCTACCAGCCAAGTCATGCATATTCATCGGCTCCCCCGCTAACTGTTTGCACATGTTAATATGGCGAAGCCAGCTAGATACGTGTTTCGGTTAGAATTCCGCAAAAAGATCTTGTACGCGGCGGCCATGTAGCGAACTTTGAGATGAAAAAAATGCAAATGTTTGCTTTGTTGCATTGCTTGGGTTTTCTCAGTCGAAAAATGCACTGAAACTGTCATATAATATGGTGAGATTTTTAACAGGTAAATTAGAATAAATGTAAGTATTTTGGGGTTGTTAATAGGGGACCCCATTTATAACGCTATCAAAGTTCGATCCGGTTGCGGTTGGCAAACCTCTATTATAATTGTCGAGTAAACGTAAGGTGCACACAGGTAATATGTGGTATCTGGTACGATAGGTCACTCTCCACACTGTACGTATACGTAATGTCCTCATGGCAAATATCAAGTATACGCCAGGCTGGCTGCAGTAGCCAAGGCATCCCATTAGGGTGCGTTATTTGTTTCACAAGTTCACGGCGCATTTTCGCCGTTTATTCATCACCACCGATGATGGCAAATAGAGAAGAGCCGAAATGTCTTGGAGCACTATAAATATTTAAGAGCCCCAAGAGACAAACTGGTTTCCGAGCATCAGTCCACTGCCGCAGCCATCTGCTTCTTTTGTCCAAATACATATTCAAACAAATGTCTGCGATTTGGGTTTGCCTTTTCTCTGCTCTCCCCACACTGAAAAATATATAGACTTTACAAATATTTAATTGCTAGGTAAAGTTTAGCTCGTGTAAGGATAAATTCTTTTAAACTAAGCTTTCTAATACCTTTTGCAAGTTAATAATTCATTTTGAACATTCAATGTTTAATTCTTATACATACATTATAACAAAAAGTTAAAGAGAAAATGTAAGATATATAGGGATTGTATTGAAGTATTTATTAGTTATTAAAGAAACATTATAGGCTTTTAGTTGGTAAGGCTTTTGTTTTAACAAAGTTTTAACAAAAGGCAGGGCCTGGTCAGGGGTTAATTAACGGATTTCTTTCCAGAACTTTGAACAGTGCAATCATCACTGCTAAAGGCGGAGTAAAAATACCCGCACCGATATTTAGATTGGCGGCAATTAGCGCCGCACTTGGGCATGTGGGTGCAAAGGCAGGTGCGAAAGCCCAGAGATGCCGCCAAGTGATTCCAAAGGGCCACGAAGCAGCGCGGCGGCGCAGTCGCGGCCAGCGTCGTTGGGCATCCTTGCGCAAACTCCGCTGGACAGCGACGAGAGGGAGAGCGAGCCACTGGGCCACAGAGACACCACCACACACGAACGAACGGCGGCGACCCGACAACCTGTTGCTGGCCGTTTGAGGCTCAGAATTTTGCCGAAAGCTCTGCTTCGACTTCGGCTCACACGCTCATCGAAAAAAAAATAAAACTAAAATAAATAAAGAGCGCTGCCGCTGACGTCGCTGCCTGCGTCGGCGCCGGCGCTGGCGTCGGCGTTTAAACCAACTCCGCTCCTACGACTACGAGCCGTATAAAAGTAAAGCGACAGCGTGAAATCAAACTTATTTCAGTGTTTTTGATTTGAATGTAAAAAGCGCACGCTCGCCCAGTCGCTGTCCAGTTGCTGTCCAGTAAAGTCCAGCAGCCGCTGCAGCCGCATCCGCTGGTGATTCCCCGATTCCCGCTAGTGTTGTGGAAAATAGATAACCCATAGAAACATGGTCTAATAGTGTGTGCGCGTTTGAAAAATACAAAAATTTAAAAACTAAAAAGAACAAATACTTTTCGAACAACACTGAAAGATATTAAAATATCGAAAGGATAGTCCGCAGTTTGAAAGTGCGAAGTGATAAAGCCCAAGCCAAAGTTGAGATTATCTCTTTAAATTAGACAAGTGAATAAAATATTAAAAAAATAAAACCCGCCGTTTTATAAACCGCCAGATAAACCGACTTGTAGTGCCTTAAATCCACGAATTATAAGAAAAATGGTAAGTTTTTGTATAAAAAATACTCTGATCAAGTGAATAAAATATTTTCAAATCAAAAGGGGTTCCCATTGTGACTCAATGGAAAAGTTGAGATAACCTTTAAGCCTCCTACTATATATTGCAAGCCTATAATTTTGAATACGATCTCCCCCCCACCACATGCAAGTTCGAATAAATAGTTGGACTTTCCATCAATCTGACAAATGACCCTTTGCACACGACTTGTGTATGCTGTTATTAAGTAAGATAATAATAAAAAAAAAGAGTATGAAAAATAATCCCCAACACATCCGGAATATTGCAATAAATTCTATATCTACAGTTAATTGACAAAATGATGTGATTATTCATCGAGGAAACCTTTCCATTTCTGGTTCTTATTTCCACTGTTCATGGAAAGATGTGCTTATTCATCCGGGGAACTTTTCATCTGGATAATTATCGATTCAAAACTATATAACAACCTAAATTAATAGTTTCCTTAAGTTAAGTTATGTGAGAAAACCTTTTGCTTAGCTCTCATTCCTTAATTCTTGTTGGCTTTCTTTGGAAATGGAAAAACACTGCGAATGGCAACTGGTTTTCGTTTTCAAGTACATTATTTCAATGTCTTTTTCCCCCAAATGCATTTTTTGCCGACGCCGCGCAGACCTTTCGACGCTTTTTCCAGCGCTTTTCTGTTTTGCTAGAGTCATTCGCACTTGAATTTCGCGAAAAGTGCACACAGAAAATGCAAGTGCTGCACTTATTTTCAAGCTGTTGCTGCTGCTGCTGCTGTTGCTGCTTTGTTACGTCTGCAGTGCAGCAGCAACATCGACGATGGCCAAGTGAAGTGAAGGCTGGCTTTTGGTTTTGACCAGCTCACAAGCTGGCCCGACCACATTTCACACGGAAATGCAGTGCAGCGCTGACCTTGAATCTCAACTGGGATAACTGGATAACTAAAGCCCGGCGATCGTAAGTGAAATGATAGCTCCTCAGGGCCAGGCCAATCGCCGCCTTGCCTCATCCACCAGACACTGGGAGAAATCAGTTTGGAATTGAACTTATAAAAATATTAATTATTTAGGTTACAATTTAATACATTTAAATTTTAGAAATTTTTCAAGTTTAATAAAAATTATTAATTGATATAATTGTATGGTTTTTTTCTAGACAGAAAAATCTAAATTAAATTTTATGATTTTTCATGTTTTAAAAATTTAATATTCAATCATTTTGCAGCATCTTTTTGCTGTGCACTTAAGCTTATTGCCCATCATTGCAGATGATTTGTTGGGTGTAGAAATCCCGTGATTTTCATATTCATTCAAGCAGCCAGCTCTGCAAATTCGAAGAAGAAAAAAATACCATTGGGTTTACCAATCACAGCTGCCGCTGGCTAATGATCACAAGCATTGCACCATTTTTTTGGGAGTCAAAAAAAAAACAATATAAAAGGGAGAAAAAAAATAAAAAGCCGAAGAAATCAGGCGGCAGCAACCCAGAAATCGAAACTTATTCAAATCTTGGAGTTGTTTTCTTCTCCTTTTGGCCACCTCTTACACAATAATTATTACACTTTGAATTTATTTTCGACTCTGGGGACTTTTGCCGCATTTTTGTCGAGTTTCGGACTCTTTTGACACTGAAAAGTGCAAAGACGCTGGCGGCGGTATTTATTAGGCCAGTTGGTTAAAGCCACCCAGCTGCCAAACTGCGCAGTCCCGGGCGGGTGGAGGTGTAATCGGTAATCACAATAAAAATGTGCTTTAATCAGTCGATTTGCTTGCAACCCCTGTTGGCCAGTTAGGCACTTTTGAGAGACAGTTAGCAGTTATGGCTCTCCTCCACACTCAGCTGTTTTTATCGAGGAGAGCGGTAAATAATTGGTAGTAACAGACACAGAGAGGAGCGAGAGAGTCGCTGTCGAGATAAGGCTTTGCCGCATGTGACTCTGCGATCGCCGCTGACTTTGTGCTCTATTTCGATTTGTTTGGCACCACGCGGCGTATGCGCGATATTCTCAGCGGAGTGTGTATGCCATTTGGCCAAAGGTTTATTGTTCAACATTGAAATAAGTGCGTGCGTCTCGGCCAGTGTTTTCTTCTCCCCTATTTATTTTCTGTTTAAACAACTGCCTGGCTAAACCTCTCTGAGTGTCGAGAACTGATAACCCCAAGCAAAGAGAGGCGCAGGCAAAGATAAAGATATATAGTGGAAGCGAAAGAGAAGAGGAAGACCCCGCCATGACGATATTTATGGACTCTTATCGGGCTGCGATTGAAGTAAGTGTCATTTGAAACTCAATTATTGCCTGTTGCGAGATTAGACGGCCAAGATACACCGGCAGAGGTGTTAAAAGACTCTAAAAATAACAGCTTTTAAACATGATCGTTGGCATATTTAACTGCTTTTTGAGTGGTTTGCAATTTTAATGAATAACTTTTTTAACGGCTACGATTTGGGGTCGATTGAATAAATTCCCTTTTGTATTTTTTACATTTATTTCGGGGGCTAGTGGGTCATGTTGAGCTCGCGAATCAGCTAATTAACATCATCTTGGGTTCTGTCATATTACATTTAAGGCCTAATCTATTTTAGAACATTTAAAATGTATTCAGGCGTGTCGAAAAGTAACAAAGTATTTCTTTTCGAATTATTTAAGATAATTAAAGATGCCTGAAATCCATGGGTTTTGTTGAATTTTTATCTTTTTTAGAATCCCTAATGAATTTCGGGGGTTATTGGGTCATGTTGAGCTAGGAAATCATCTAATTAACATCAGCTTTGGTTCGGTCTTATTATATTCAAGGCCGCTAATGGAATTCAGCTTAGTCTTAGTCTTTTTTTTTAGAACACTGAAATTGTAATCGGACACTTTTCGAATTATTTAAGATAATTAAATTTGCCTAAAATCCTTGGGTTTTCTTGAATTTTATTTGTTAGGATTCCATAATTAATTTCGGGGGCTAGTAGTGGGTCATGTTGAGCTAGGAAATCATCTAATTAACATCAGCTTGAAATTGTAATCGAGCACTTTTCGAATTATATAAGATAATTAAATTTGCCTAAAATCCTTGGGTTTTGTTGAATTTTATTTTATAAGTCCCCCATCCATTTGAATGCAATAATCATTATTCAATGACACAAACTGGAATATTAAAGAGAAAGATGAGCGAATCAATTAAAAGACACACAAAAACACAATTAAATAATCAACATTGTGGGCCTGAAAACAAAATTTAAATTAGGGGGCAGCATGAGCCTGATAAGTTCACTTAAAAGTCATTGCTTGGTTAATTACATTGGTGATTTACGGACAACCGAGGGCAGGGAACTTGGAAAAAACAGGGAAACGGCAGTCGGGACGAAATGCAAAGTTCGAGATTCGAATCGGAATGGCACATTAAATACCTGAATCAAGAGTCAATTGGTTAGGTACCATTATTAATGCCAGCGTCCAACCAGACTGGTAACATTAGCGCCGAATACATTCGAGATACTAAACAAAAATCAAATACAAAATCAACAATCAACATTCGCCGAGTGACGGATGCAGCAATGTGGGAATGAATCAGCTAAAATATCTGAATTGAGGCTTTCAAATGGCATTTGGGGAACTCACTTACATTTACACTTACACTTACGCACCTTTGAGCCAGGCTCTCGAGTATTTGCAGCTGTGCACTTGACTACTAACTGATTTTTTTTTTAACTAGCGGCAACTAAATACTATGGCACATTAGGAAATACACTGGGAACTTTTTAAGAATTCTTGAAATCGAAATAATATTTATTTAAATTTATAATAATAGTAAAGTCAAAGAAACAATGGGATATTTTAACCTATTGTGTTAATAATATGAATTTCTTAAGGGAAAGCAAAACAAATTATTCTTTATTTCATTTTCAATATTATTATTTTATTATTAAATTATTAATATTTATAAATTTTTCAAAATAAATTGATAATTTCGGTGCACATTGCAACAACTTGCAACCTGAAACGACGAGGCTCGTCGTCTAGTGAGCGGCTTAAGACCGCCCCCAAAAGCAACAACAATACAACTTCCTTGGAGCGGCCACAACTACTACTACACTTGGAAAAATGTCTTGCACTAATTACTGATGTTTTTAGGCCAACGACAAGTGGGCGACTGCAACAACAACCAGCAAGCGCACTCGATTGCCAAATTTAAGCGTTTTAGTTGCTTCGAAGAGTCAAGAGCCGAAATCAAGTCTTCTCTTTTAAATACAAATTATACCAGTGTTTAGTTAAATGGTAATGTTTAAATAAAAATATATATTTTTTAACATTTTAAATTAAATTTTACGGAATAATATTTAGAATTTAAAGTTTAAAGAGCGGTTCTTTCCTTTTTCTGTTTAAAATATTATTAAAATGAAGTAATTATTATTATAAATGAAAATATTTAAAGGCTAAAAAATTAAAAAAAAAAAAGTTTTTTATATTTTTAAAATATTAAAATTTAAATACATGTGGGATTGGAGTAGTTTAGATGAACATGGAACATACATACATTCATTAAAGGACCTACTCTATATATTAACCATATTGAAAATGAGATAAATTACCTTTTTTTTAACTTTAATTTCTTGTAACTGATTTAAATAACTTAAGCCTGTTGTGATTTTGAGATTTAACATTTAGAGAGGGGAACCCTCAGTAATTCTAACAATAATCTATTGAATTATAAACAAAAAACACAAAATAAATCTTAATTAGCTTCATGAAAACATGCAAGACTTTTAGTAATGACCATTGACCAAGTACTGCTATTAAGTTGAACCCCGCTGTGCTGCTGTTGCTGATGGATATATGCTGGCTCATATCATATGTTGTTTTTGTGTGGCAAGTGCAGCAAAAGTTGTTTCTGCCGCTGCTTCTCTTAATCTCTGTCGAAATCGCGAGTTGTCCGATGCGCGCGATTTCGATCGCGTGCAAGTCGCGCGCTGCTTGGAATTCGTTCGAAAGTAAAATGCGTTGCATTTTCAAC